GTCACTAAGGAGGACAGTCAGATGGCTGGTGCCCTAAAAGGTTTTATGTAACTCAAGATGTGATTTCCTTTCATGCCTGATACACAGAGACTTAAAAATTATCCGATAATATGGATTTCCCATGTCTGGTCTTTGTTCCTGCTGGTATTAAACTTTCTTCCAAATATAAAGAAATTGTTGCCTGAATTTAAATTACACAGCATAAAAATAAGCTTTTTGAATTTAGAGAGTGTATTTACTGATGCATTTCCCTGTATGAATCTGCTCAAGGGTAAGAGTTCCCCTTTGGTTCCACGATTCTTACTGAAACCGGGATGCTGGCCGTCCCTTTGCTGCCGGTGACGATTCCATTTCTTCTGGTGACAGTGATGTCCTTCCTGATGCCCTGAGTTCTTCAGAGATCTTCAATTGCCCACTGCCCACCCCACCCGGGCGTCCTCCCACCTTCCCACGCCCCTGCCACCCAGCGAATCCTGCCTTTGACTTCTCTGTTTCTCCGCTAGCTTGGAGCTGACCGCCTGCTTGCTGTCATGGCCTGCTGACCTCCCCTGGGAGCTCAGGGAGCAGCCTGGCAGCTGCCTGTGCGGGTCGGGCTCTCAGCCATTGTAGCTGGACAGAACGGAGACCGGAGGCAGAGCCCGTGTTCTTTATCTTATCTGGGGGGAAGAGTGAAAAGACAAAAGGTTTTGTAAAAATCGGGTACCAAGTTAAAGTTTAAAAGTGTTCAGACCGAATGGCCCTGTTGTGTAGACCCTGGGCGACCATGTGGTTGCTGGAGGAAGGGTGCGTCTCTTCTCTCTGAGGCCGGGAGTCCTTCTCACCCCTCAGTCTGTGTCCCCAGGTCGGTGGCGACAGGACCACCGGCGTGGGGCAGGGTGTCAGCACCCCGTCTGTACCAGGCCGGACAGTACGCGGGGCCCCTCCTCCCCAGCCTGTGAGGGCACTGGGGCCTCCCGTGTGGGGGGTCAGCATTGAGCCCTTGACCTGTGACCTCGCCCCCTGGAGAGGGAAGCTCAGGGATGCGGCCTTCACTGCTGCAGTCCTTGCAGAGCCAGATTGGAACTCACGTCTGCCTGTCGGCTGGGCTTGGAACTGTCAAGCTGTGTGCCCAGGGGCAGCCAAAGAGCCAGACCCCGCGCTGTGGGGTGACTCGCCTGAATGCACGGCCCGACGGGTCCCTAAAGGGAACTTCTGTGAGGTCCTTTCTGTCCTGGGCCACTGGTGGGTGAGGCCACACACACGCGGGTGCAGAACTGGTGCTCGGTGGTGGGTCAAAGGGGAACAAAGCGACAGCGGGTGCTTGGATGGCAGGCGCACAACAGAGCAAGGGTCGGTGCTGTCGGCTTACTCGTATTTCTCCCGACTTCAGATGTCCCTGAAGAACGGGGTCAGCTGCCCCTCTTCTCTCGATCCGGAGGTCCTGTCCATTTTTGTGCCTCCTTTCGTCACTAAGGAGGACAGTCAGATGGCTGGTGCCCCCTGTGTGACTCCGAGCAAGACCAGAAGACGCTCCTTCAGAAAGAAGAGGGATAAGCCCAAAACAGAGCCCTGGAAGGGCCTCCCTCCTGAAGACGTTAGTGTCCCCAACGGCGTGGACCTGCTTGCCCTGCCTCAGCTCTGCTTCCCAGGTACCCCCTGCCCTGCTTTCCTGCTGCACCCACGGTGCTTTCCAGAAACCACGTTGAGAAAGGGTGACAGATGGGGGCTGGTGACCCCTGGCAGCCTCAAGGTCGAACCGTGGAACTCAGTTCTCTAAACCTTGGGGGTTTGGGAGCTGAAGGATGTGTGGCCCACGACGTAGTGCAGCTCCCATGTTTTGGAGAACGAGTCCCAGACGAGGGGCTGTGGGGATTGCCAGCAGGTTGGTAGATGTGCTTTCCAAGGATTTTCACCTTCAATTGACAGGCCGTTCTTCCAGAGGTCTGGTATAGGTGGGTCAAGAAGAGTCCATTTAGCCTGCGGCATCTGGCCCCCCCACCGCCCCCAAGTGTGCTTCCATCCGGGCTCCCCAGCCCCTGTTTTCTGTGCCCCCCGGAGCCCACAGCCTGGGCTCACATGCTTTCCCCACCTGGCCCATTCCTGGCAGCGGGCGGCCCTCATGTTTTCCGCTGGTCTTTGAGAAACACTGAGTGGCTGTTGAAGAAAACTCAGACTAGGGACTTGCCTTCCCTCGTTCCCTGAATGGAAGGTTCCATCAGGAATGGGTGCTGTCTCCTGGTCTCAGGGATTATAACCCAGGGACAGCTGGGACACCCTCGGGCCTGCTGGGCTCAGAAACGGGCACCTCCTCCAGGCGCCTCCCGAAGGGTTCATCTGCGGTTGTCCTCAGGTTCCTTTGCTAAATTCTGCAGAGCACAGAGGGCGGCTGAGGAATGGGCACCGCAGAGGGACGAAGGGGCCACAGCTGGCTAGCGGCCTGACCCCCCAGGTGCCACAGCTGGCCAGGCGAGGAAAAGTTCTGTAGGCCGTGAAGTGGGCTTGTGGACAGCCCAGGCTTGGAGGCGGATGCCGCGGGGCCATGATGAGATTTCCTCTTCTTTCTCCGTCCGCAGGGGGCGTATACGTGGCCTCGGAACCGAGGGAGGACTGTGTCCACTTCCTGGTGCTGACTGATGTCTGTGGGAACAGAACATACGGCGTGGTTGCCCAGTACTACCGACCCCTACATGTACGTGACTGCCGTGAATTCCCTCTGAAATCGGGCTGTAGTGTTTTTCATTTTTGCCAAAACACACATCACAAACCACCATTGTAATCACTTCAGCATGTACGGGTCAGTGGCGCTAAGTACACTCCCGGTGGTGGGCAGCCCCCCCCCACTGCGTCTGGTTCCAAAAGATGTCCGTCACCCCGAAAGTCCCTCCCCCAGCCCCCGGCCCCCATTCTCCCTCACGGATTTGCCTGCTCCGGACTCCTGGTGTCAGTGGACTCAGGCTGCACGTGGCCTCTGTGTCTGGCTTCTTCCACTCAGTGGACGGGTTCAGAGTTCTTCCATGTTGGGGCAGCAACGCCTCTGTTCTTGTAGCCGAGTCCCACTGCCCTGTGGGTGTGAGCCAAAGCTTGTTGCTCACGCATCCACGGAGGGGCACTCAGGTTCTTTTGTGCAAGGTGATGGTTTTGGGCCTCCCAAGCATGCCTTGGCCCTCCCCTGCCCGGCAGGGCCACCTGTACGAGCCTCTCGGGAGCTCGCAGGGGTCGCCACACACCTGAGGAGGCGGGGTGACCCGCTGCCTGTGTCCAGAGGGTTTCCAGAAGCAGCAGGGGCCCCGGTGCTTCATCCGGGGAAGTCCAGGAGTCCGACACCCCGAGGGGGAGGTGGCTGCCCGGATTTTCCTCCCCACTCTGCCGTCAGAGGCTGGGCCAGCTGCAGTGGGAGAATTATCCCCAAGTGTCGGGGGACATAAGGTGCGGCTTGACGGGCTCTGTCCCTTCAGGCCTGTGGTGTGGCACGGACGTGCCTGATGTGCGTCAGAAACACATGGGAGCCCAGCATTCTGCTGAGGTCTGAGTGTGCAACCTCAGTGTCTGGACTAGGCGTCCCCCTGGCGGGCGGCGGGTGGCCGCGGGGAGGCCACCACTCACGGCCGTGCATGTGGGCTGTTGCGCCCGCGGCACTGATGGCCTGCTCTCCTGCCCGGGGTAGATAGAGGCGGGCAACGAGTCGAGAGGGGGCCGAGTTCCTGCCCCTCCCTGGTAGCGCTTCCGGCAGAGACAGCACGGGAGGCTGCATCATTCAGGACGGTGCTTTGGGAGCTCGTCTGTGGAGTGAGAAGTGCCTATTATTTTTATTATCATTAAATACATTTAAAAGAAGTCACAGCCCTGTGCTTTGCATGTGACTCCCCCCTACACCTGGCTGCTGGGGTGTGCGTGGCCCCTCGCCTGCCCTCTCAGTGCCTGCGTGGTTTCGGGGTGACCCAGGGCCCTACGTGCCGGCCTCCCCCCCGCCCCCGCGTGTCCCTGACTACCCACACCCCGTCCTGCACTCCTGCCTTTCCGTGGACTGCACGTGCAGCCGCCCCCGGAGTGCGGACGGCGCTGTGGTCCTCATATGCAAGCCGCCCACTCCAGGCACGCCCCTCCTCACAGTCATTCGTTTGGTCCCCACCACAGCGAACGAGGCTGCGAACTCAGTGTCATCCCCATTTTACCGATGAAGCAAGCAGTGGCACAGGGAGGCGAGGTGACTTGCCTGGGGGTCCCTGGCACATTGACTTGACGGCTGTAGGCCTTGGTTCAGTGTCGGTGGGTAGACAGACGGCGTGCCTGCTGGGCTCTCCCCCTCCCTGTCCTGCAAGACCCTCACGTTCACACCATCCCCAGGTGAAGCTGTTATCACACCCTGCCATCCCTGCTGAAAAACCCTGAACAACCCTCCGCGGGGGCCAGATTGTGGCCCCCAGTGATGCACCACTCGTCAGCTCCGCAGTGGTCTGTGCCTTCTGGAATCCCGGCGCCGGGTGCTTTCTCCAGCTGAGACCCGCCCCCCCCAACCCCAGCATTCTGCTGAGGTCTGAGTGTGCAACCTCAGTGTCTGGACTAGGCGTCCCCCTGGCGGGCGGCGGGTGGCGCGGGGAGGCCACCACTCACGGCCGTGCATGTGGGCTGTTGCGCCCGCGGCACTGATGGCCTGCTCTCCTGCCCGGGGTAGATAGAGGCGGGCAACGAGTCGAGAGGGGGCCGAGTTCCTGCCCCTCCCTGGTAGCGCTTCCGGCAGAGACAGCACGGGAGGCTGCATCATTCAGGACGGTGCTTTGGGAGCTCGTCTGTGGAGTGAGAAGTGCCTATTATTTTTATTATCATTAAATACATTTAAAAGAAGTCACAGCCCTGTGCTTTGCATGTGACTCCCCCCTACACCTGGCTGCTGGGGTGTGCGTGGCCCCTCGCCTGCCCTCTCAGTGCCTGCGTGGTTTCGGGGTGACCCAGGGCCCTGCGTGCCGGCCTCCCCCCGCCCCCGCGTGTCCCTGACTACCCACACCCCGTCCTGCACTCCTGCCTTTCCGTGGACTGCACGTGCAGCCGCCCCCGGAGTGCGGACGGCGCTGTGGTCCTCATATGCAAGCCGCCCACTCCAGGCACGCCCCTCCTCACAGTCATTCGTTTGGTCCCCACCACAGCGAACGAGGCTGCGAACTCAGTGTCATCCCCATTTTACCGATGAAGCAAGCAGTGGCACAGGGAGGCGAGGTGACTTGCCTGGGGGTCCCTGGCACATTGACTTGACGGCTGTAGGCCTTGGTTCAGTGTCGGTGGGTAGACAGACGGCGTGCCTGCTGGGCTCTCCCCCTCCCTGTCCTGCAAGACCCTCACGTTCACACCATCCCCAGGTGAAGCTGTTATCACACCCTGCCATCCCTGCTGAAAAACCCTGAACAACCCTCCGCGGGGGCCAGATTGTGGCCCCCAGTGATGCACCACTCGTCAGCTCCGCAGTGGTCTGTGCCTTCTGGAATCCCGGCGCCGGGTGCTTTCTCCAGCTGAGACCCGCCCCCCCCAACCCCAAACACATAGAAATGCTCTAATGCTGCAGCTTCTTTCCTTTGTAAGCAGAGCCCATGGCCCCTTCTGTGTCTTACTGTGTTCTCACTGTGCATCCCTTCCCACCCGGGCGGGGATGTGTCTAACCATCTCCGCCACCTCAACACGTCACAGACAACAGGCACCTGGGGGGCCCCATCCACGCTGACTGGGACTCACAGTGACACGGGGGGGCCCATCCATGCTGACTGGGACTCACGGTGACACCGGAGGGAGCGTGGGCCGGCCCCTGTGCTCTCGCTTCTGTCTGCAGAGGCCCACACTGCTGGGGATAGAAGCCGGGACCAGCTGGGTCAGGAGGTGACACGGGTCCATTGCTTTCTCTCCAGGATGAGTCGTGTTTCTACAATGGCAAGGCGCACTGGGAGCCGTCCTGGCCGACCGTGGGCGCGGCTGGCTGCTTCGTACCGTTCGCGGTGTGCGTGGTCTCCAAGCTCCCCTATTACAACGCACTCAAGGACTGCCTGTCCTGGTGAGCCTGCGCCGTGCCCATGTGTCTGCGAGGCCACCCTGGTGCTGGTGGGCCGTGGGCGGGCTCTGGTTTGGCCACGGGCGCTCCCATGAAGGCCCAGAGGCTTCCGGAGGTGGTAGCATGTGGGGAAGGTCTGCCAGACAAGGGAGGATGAAGCCAAACTGTGGGAAGTAAAATTAGTATGGAGGATTTTATGTTTGGTTTTTTTAAAAAAGATGTCCATCAGAAACAGCTCTTCTCCTGGCTGAGAAAATCAGGAGACTACCACTGTCAGTCCTGTTGAGTTCATGACAGCTAACAAATTTTCTTTTTTGGGGGTGGAATCTTTGAGTGTCTTAATGCTGATATTGAGTAGAAAGCCTGAGGACAGAGAAGTTCCGAAAACTCCAGAGAGCATCGCGCTCACCGCCTGTTGTCGGGAGACAATTGTGGCGTGTGGACACGGTCCAGCCCCCCGCCACATGCACCCGGGCCTCCTGGTTTTCACTCTCACCAAGTTCTAGTCTTGGAATTCATGGTGGTTTTGTTAAAGACAGAGGTGGTCAACGGAGGTTCGCCTTAATGTCCTAATACCCACCCGCCACCACTGGCAAGTCGCAGACTCCTGGAAAGACCATCATTTTGGTTCTCACACTGTGGTCAGAGGGACGAGCAGGAATCCTTCCTGACCAAACTCACAACTTTCGGAACTCAAGTTCCAGCACCTTAATGTTTTAGTTTTCAGAATGTGGCTGGTCTTTGCACATGGTTTGGGTCTAGCCTGGGTTTTACTGCCCCCAACAGAGAACAGAGCCCTCGCTTGGTCTCCCTCCAGGACTGCGTGAGTTGAGTGCGTGCACGTTCATTAATGCATGTCTGCCCAGGCATGGGCGGTGAAGGGATGATAAATCAGAACAGGGTCCCCTTTTCTTAATTAACTGATAATCTTCAGCACCTGAAGGTAGATGGCTTGTCCACCCATCTTCAGTTTCCTCGTTTGTGAAGTGGGGGTGGTGGTTACACCCTTTCTTGAACGGAACAGCTTCCGGCCGCTTGTCGCCCGCCTTCCAAGGAGGGCAGCCCCTGCACCACTTTCTCAGACCTTGTATACGTGATCATTCACGTGTGACTCCCCACAAATACCATCCTGCTAGACACTGATGGAAACGAATGTTTAACTCGAAAAACGTGTTCAGTTTCCGTGCTTCTTGAGTGTTCTCTCTCTCGATGCTCATTGCTAAATGACCCAAACTAGAAAATATAAAAACAAATGACAGAAATCCAAATGGCACTTTATAAACACAGATTTATAGATTTTTAAAATCCGTTTTTCTGCTATAATGGTAGCATGTAAACTATGCCTCTGTGTGGACAGAAATTGGGAAAGAATGCTTAGCTGTGTTTGCGGAATTAGATTATGGAAAGTCTTTGTTTTTTTTTATTTTTTTAAACTTGATACTATTCTTTTACAATAAATAAAATGTGGAGGAATATTGAATTATCTCCAAATCCTGACACTGACTCAGGAAGAGCTATGATTTGTTGCTAAAGTAAGACTGTAAGCGCACGGCTTGCCGGGACTGTGTGGGGCCTGCTGTGCTGGGTGAGGCCGGGGTCCGCCCCAGGACACCCAGGCGGGGTGTCCGGGGCGGTTGGCTGAATTTTGCCAAATGTAGACACTGTGTGACCACCACCACTGTTAAGACAGAGAACATTTTCACCACCCCCAAAGCTCCCGCACGCCCTGTGGTGCTTCCCAGCCCCTCTGCCCCCAGGCACCTGCTGGTCCATTATGCATTTCAGTTGGTTGCGGTTGTGCCTTGAACAACACGGTTTGAACCGTGCCTGTCCACATACACCCAATTTCTTTCGACAAATACAGTAATGTAAATGCATAATGTAAATGTATTTTCTCTTCCTTAGGATTTTCTTAAAAACACTTTTTCTCTAGCTTACTTTATTGTAAGAATACAGCATATAATGCATATGACATACCAAATACCTGTTAATTGTTCGTGTCATCGGTAAGGCTTCTAGTCAGCAGTGGGCTATTAGCAGTTAAGATTTTGGGGGGCAGGTGAGAAGTTCTACGCAGGTTTTCAACTGCGTGGGGGGTGGGCGCCTTTAACCCCTCACATTGGTCAAGGGCCAACCATACTTCAAAAGTCAGAATGCATTTGGGAAACAAATGTGGTCAAGCACTTTCCTTTGAGATGTTTACTCGCTGCTGAAGTATGACCCAGACAGAAATTGCATGAATTTCAGCCGTGTAACCAGCACTCACAGCAAGAAAAGAACATGGCCAGCCCCCGAACACCCCACCTCCCCAGCACCCCCCTGCAGGCAGGCTCCGACCCTGGGCAGGCCACACCCTGCTGTCTCCCATCCGGGGGGTTGTCCCCCCATTGCTGGAAGGCCCTGAGGCTGCCGGCGTAGGCAGCCGTGTCAGTGTTGATTAGAAATGCTAAAATGACAATTGGAGGCTGATATTTATTTTGTGATGTGATTTTTTTTTTTTTTTTTAGTTTATTGACTCACCTGAAGCTCTGTAAAGATTTTGAAGTTGACAATCACATAAAAGATTTTGCTGCAAAACTGTCTTTAATACCTAGCCCGCCGCCTGGACCACTTCACTTGGTAATTAAATCTGAAATTTTGTCTTTTCTTTGCGAATAGTAAAAGTCATATGATGATGATGGTTTTAATGTTTTAAACTATTTCTTACATTCCAGTGTTTAAATTATGCTTCTCAAGTTCCTCACAGAATCATCTTATTACGCCATTTCTAAAGATGAGTTTGCCTGCCGGCCTCGTGGTGTGGAGCCTATGATGGGCCCCCTTAGTGCTTAACACATCGGTTCATTACTTCCTGTGCAAAAAACACACTGAATTTACTCAAATTACAAATGTCCCTTTGGTTTATTTGTCTGGAATATTGGGTACTGTATTACATTGATTCATGTTTTCTCCTGTCCAGGGTGATTAATGAAAAGTACCTGGCTTCCTATTTTTTAGTTTTTCCCAGTGCTGTTGAATGAGTAGCCAAGCGTTTCCGGGGATCTGGGTTCCCTGGCACGCTTGTCCTGAGATGTTGTTGGCTCTTTCATCACGCGAGGGTTTCAGGCTAAGGACAGTTGCAGAAAGGCAGCCCACGTTCTCTCTTTGCTGAGTAACAGGCCAAGACGGCTGAGCCCTGATGACACCTGTCTGGCTCAGCATTTTCCAGGCTGACACAACCACCGGGCGTTTCCTCATTCTCAAACAGGCACCCGCCAAATTAGTGTCTCGAAGCAGGTCATAAATTCGACTCTATTTCACTCAGTCCTTTCTAGAAGATTAGACATAGAGATCTCGGTTCTCTAAATATTGATTATTATTCACAGTTGAAAGATTAATTTTATTTCACAGGAGACAGGTGATTATGAACTTAAAAATATATATTTTTAATACCACCCTATAGTGTGTGGGGTGGGGGTGGGGGGAATCCTGCCAGATGCGTTCCAGGCCCAGAGACAGACCAGGTTGCCTGAGTACCTTGGTTCTGCTCCCAGAAACCTTTGTAGGGACATTTATTGGATACTTGTTTTGTGCAAGGCTGTCATCTTTATTACATGAATGATTGGTGGTTTTTTATGGTACACTGAAGTCATCAAAGTTTCTGTTCTTGCTCTATTCACTCAACAAATATTCCCTGAGGACCGGCTAAGCAGTGAACAAAACCGAGTTCAGGACAGTCTGAGGGTCAACCCTACATATTATGTTCTGCCTTCGAGCATGAGTAATGCACGAACCGCACCTGTACCAGTTTTCTGTACCTTGGAATCTTGGATTAATTCATATTTGGTTCTCCGACTTTTACCACCCCTGTGAGAAAGTTTCCTGGGGGTCGTTCTTGACACCTTCTCTTCACCCCTGCATTCCATCCATCACTCACCCCTGACCAGCCAGCTCCCAGCGTTTGCCTCCAGTTGGCCACGGCCACCCTCTCACGTGGGGCCACCGGCTTCTCCCACCTGCGTGACTTGAGGAGCCACTGGTCTGTCCACGTCCATTCTTGATCCTTCATTCCGTTCATCCTTTGCATAGTGGCTGCAGAGACTTACCAGCTATCCACTGGACTCTCCTTTTGTGCTTAAAACCCCACAATGGCTTCTCACTATGTACCTGCAGCCAGTCCTACATCCCTGGCCCCTGTGTCGTCTGCTCTGTCTGCAGCCTCACCCCCTTGCTCACTGTTGTCCAGCCACACTGGGTCTCCCTCCATCCCTCGCAGGGACTGCCCCTCGCACGTGCTGTTCCTGGAGGTCAGGTCCTTCGGGACAGCCTCTGTGTGACCTCCCACCCCATTGCTCCGTGCCCCGCTCCCTTCCTGCGGAGCCCAGCACAGTCTGCGGTTGGGGCTCGCGCACGTGTGTGTTTTGTTTTCTCCATCGGCCTCCGAGCAGCGTGAGGAAGAGGCCCCGGGCAGAGCTGCATATGCGGTGCTGTCACTGCGCCCGCTGTTGAGCAAATGAATGAACGGATGGGTCGTGTTTCAGGCCTAGCCTGTCGTGTTCTCAGAGTGGGGTCTGCGTCTTGGTTCTTGCGCGTTTGTCCGAATGAGCTGAGCCTGGCTCAGGCTTGCCGCTGTGATCCTCCCTTGCAGCCTCACCAGCTCTGGGGCCCCTGTTGATACGTGGCCCTGACCCATCTTTGGGAGTGTTGAGCCACGTGGCTGTTCCTTGTTTTGGAGAAATGCGAGGCCAAGGTTCTCCTCTAACCCAGGAGCCGATTCAGCAGGAATTTCCAGAACCCACTGCAAATGAATGTCGATGGAGAGGCTTGTAGCTAGTGCTCGGGAGCTGTGATTCCTGAGAGTCAAGTGCATGGGTGCCAACTGGGTCACCTTTGGTCTGTGACAGGGGAGGTGGCGCCCAGCCTCGGCCCAGCCTGGCTCCGTGCCCTTTTAGCGGACAGCGCCTGGACCACCGGCCCGAGGGCAGCAAAGACACCCCACGCCCCTGGGCCCACTCTGCCGCTTCTCTGCCCACCAGCGGGTCTGATTTTATGTGCTTTCAGAGCACGGGCCAAGTTATTGGGTGTGCACACGAAATGGGCATTTTCCTTCTCTCTCTACCTGACTCATTTCCTGTGTTGCCTTGTGTGGGGAACCTGTTGTTTGCCTGGGGCTACAGTCAAGCTGAAATTTGGAAAGTGTTTCCCCGAAATATCTCTCCGTCCTCAGTTTCTTCACTGTAAGGTGATGGGGGGACAGCAGAGCCCAGCTCAGAGGGTGTGGGTCTCACGCGCCGCAGTGGACACGTCCCAGGGTCCCAACAGCGTCACTGGTAGAATGACTGGCATTTGTATTTAGTTTTTATCTGTAGTTGGGAAGCCGGTTGACGCGTTTATTTTTTGAAATATCAAGGGGAGTTTTTCACATAGACTTTACAAGTTTTCATAGTTCATCACCACCGGGAGCATGTAACTCTGCTCTACCTTGTTTTGTTTTAAATAAAAAGGATGTTATCATCCACACAGAGCCTCTGCCTTGTTCCTGATGTGTCTTGCTTCTGCAGATCGGTGGGTCACAAGATGGTGCCGTCAGGGGACACTTGCAGAAAGAAGTCTTCCCTTGTCCTCAGGTTCTTTGCACGAGCGTTCACACAGAGCTGTGGTGACACAGGTGTGAGCCGGTGTGGATGGCGAACATTTGTTCTGGAACCTTCTTCCCTAGCCAGTGCTCTGCGTCTCTCCATGTGTCCTCCTTCCACACTTTTCCTGGCGGGAGCTTCTCTGTCTCAGATTCGAGAATCTTCTCTCTGCTTTCGGCCCGGCACTGCTCACACCCGGGTCACTCCATTCTGATTGCCCCCGGGGTCCGGGGGCACTCCTGGGCGCTCCCCCATGAGGCTGACATCCATGGTCAGGAGCAAACTTGCCATCGAACTGGAAGGCCCCTACCGTGCCCCTCCATTCAGAAGGGGCATTCTGCAGATATTGAGTTCGAATTGAAGTGTTATTTTGGAATACTATCATTTGGAAAAATAAAGTCTTTCTCAGCGATTTCTTCAAGTCCATGTCTTTAAGGAGCTTTGACAATTACGTTGAAAATACTAAGAGAATTCGTAATATGCAGTAAGTGTTCTAGCTAAGATTAACCTGATCGTGCTTGACTTGGAATCTGTGCTGACTGGGACTCACGTCCGGGCGTCGGTTAATCTTTGCCAATGAGCAGTTTGCTAATGAATTAAAGAGTTTAGGGAAGATTGGCTGAAAAAGACATTCAGTACTTGATTCATGTATGAGCCTTTCTCAGCGGTTCTGTGTGTCTCTAGACTGTTTTGTTCTGTGCCATATGCAGTGACTGCATGAGTCTTCAAACACGTATCCTAACTCAGACACCCTTGGAGACTAAACTGAGAGTCTCAGTGCATTTTGGCCTCCACTGGGAGTGGCTCTCTGAACTAATGATGGAACTTGGTCGTCACAGATATTTAACATGAAGCCGCTACAGATCGTGTTTCCCTCCCGCGCGGACCCTGAGAGCCCGCTCATCGACTTGGACCTTCACCTGCCCTTGCTGTGCTTCAGGCCTGAGAAGGTGCTGCAGGTATGTGTCCCTCTGGACCCGGGGCGTCCCTGCCGGTTGGCTTAGTGGGGCATCTAAACTGTCGTTGTCTGGAGGGCAATGCCAAGGCACGTGTGTTCCAGAACGCACTGGGAATAGTTGCTTTTTGGCTTCAAGCAGACATTCAGGACTGTGTATGCTGTTCACAAGTAGTGCTTTTTGGGGGGCTAAAGGGGCTTTCGTTTTGGCAGGTATCAGCCCATGTGGTTTTAGTGGTGCGATTCAGTGCGTGGCGCATGGCTGGAGGTGTGCACACGGTGTTGTTGATTCCCCCCAGATCCTAACGTGCCTCCTCACGGAGCAGCGGATTGTGTTCTTCTCCTCCAACTGGGCGCTGCTGCCGCTGGTTGCCGCGTGCTTCCTGGCCTACCTGCACCCCCTGCAGTGGCAGCACACCTTCGTGCCTGTCCTGTCACACCAGATGCTGGACTTCGTTATGGCGCCGACGTCCTTCCTCATGGGCTGTCACCTCGACCACTTTGAAGAAGTCAGCAAGGTTAGGCCTCGATTGTTTGCTGGAGAATGTCGGATCCTTGTGACCCCTGTGGGGACCAGCAGGGAATGGCTTCGAAAGGGCCCCGCAGGGAGGGCCGTGCGCCCTGGCCAGGGAGAATGCAGTTCTTCCCGTCCCCGCGGCTCGTGCCCTGGGTGCCACACACATGCAGGGTGCTGTCGCACATCTGCACCATCCCCCTGCGGTCCTCCGGGCGTGTTCAAGGCCATGGGGTTCTGGGCACCGGGACCCTGTGTCACCTGCCAGTCCACTTAAATTCCCAGGGGTCCGTGGCTTCCCGCAGTTCCAGCGAGGAGAGTGCGGGCATCGGCGCTGATGGAGCCTGCTATCTGGCCCAGCTGTGGCCCCTTTCTAGTTTTGCGGCCTCGAGTGAGGTCCCAGCCCTTGCTGAGCCTCAGCCTCCTTGCCTCTGAAGCGGGCATGTCCTCCTGGGCTGGGCTCTGAGTGGGGACCACCCCGCACCTGCTGGCACGTGGCAGGGGCTCAGCAGACCGCAGCGGCCGGTGTCCCTGCTCCAGATCTTGTGTTTCTCTGCTTGGTTCAGCTTCTGTTGTTCAGTAATGCTGTGGACCCTCCAGCTAGAAGATGCCTGTCCACGCTGCATGTCACTCACAGCGTCAGTGGGTGCGTGGGCCTTGCTGCATGCAGTGACCGTTTACTTGCCATGCCTGACCTTCGGCAGAGCGTTCGGCCCTCCTGTGTCCTAGTTGTAAAAGACAGAGGTTAATTGGACACTTAGGTCATCAGGGCCAGGGTCCCCGACAAGAAGGCAAAAACGCCGGGACAGCTAAGACAAAACCACACTAGTATCCTGCTTTACACCTTAGACGAGACCACGACAGCATCCGAATGGCCTTTGCAGGAGTGACTTGCAGAACATCCTGAAACAAAACAATTAACCATGAAACACTGGTCACTGTCACAAGTTGAGGCACTTTAGTCTCCAGATGTCAGCCCAAAAGACCATTAACACGTGAACAATAACCCGATAGGTAGACAGGGGCATGATCAAAGCCCTGATTGGCACACCTTAGCACCCACGGGGGCCCACACTCAGGATGCTCAAGATAGTTTCTCAGAAGAGCTTATAAAAAACCCATAGATTTGAATGCCGAAATGGCAGCCCTCTCAGGGAACTTTGTACTATCGCTCAATAAACTTTGCCCTGCTGCCCACCACTCTTCGTCTGGTCACCTCTTCATTCCGCCAAGCGGCGCGACCAAGAGCTGTGGGCACAGAAGGGAACAAAGATCCTGTAACAGCAGTAAGTGTGCTAGCCCCATTATCGTGGTAGGGATCAAAGGGGCCAATAGTACAGCACTTGGCATACAGTAAGTGCTTAATAACATACATTTAGATGGTGAGCTAATGTGGATTTGTAATACTGTGATAGTGTCGGCAGGCAGAGCAGGTTTGGCTTTCTAAAACACCTTTATTCATATAAAATACCACGAAGTTTGCCCGATTAAAACGTGCAATTCAGTGGCTCTTAGTAACTTGACAGAGTTGTGCCAACTAATTTCAGACGTTTTCGGCACCCACAGAGAAGCCCCGTTTGCCTTAGCGTCGCCCCATGCTGTCCTCCGCCTGCCCCTGGCCACCCCCACCTGCTTCTGTGTCCGTGGATTTGCCTGTTCCACACACGTGGTTTTAGGCCCGTAGCTGGCCGTTAGTGGCTTCCTTCGCTCAGCACAGCGTGTTCTAGGGTCGTCCACGCCGTCCATCCACGTAGCCATGGTTCTTGCTGCCGAATAGGATCCTGTTATGCAAACGTGCCACAGTTCGTTCGTTCGTTCATCGGTCGGTGGATGTTAGTTGTTTCAATTTCTGACTGTTGTGACCAGTGCAGCTGCGAGCCTTTGTGTGTGCGAGGTTCTGTGCGGCGTGCACTCTCCCCCGCGTGGGTACACACCCCCCACAGACGCTAGCCGTCTAGCCGCTGGAGGAGAGGCCGGGCTGTGCGTGCATTCCCACCGGCAGCGTGGGGTCGCGATCCTCTGCCTCCTCGCCAGCGCTGGCCCCGTGTGTCCTTCTAGCCGTCGAGGCAGGGCGGACGTGGCATCTCACCGCGGATCTGATGCGCGTTTCCCCAGCGACTGACACTGGAGCACCTTTGCACGGGGGCCTGGAGCGTTTCAGAGCAAATCCCGGGAAGGTGCCCGGGAAGGTGCCAGGTGTCCTGTTCGGCCCGGCCGCTCCCGGGGAGGAACCGGGTTCTTGCCGAGTTCTTGCCAAAGTCAGTGATTCACCAAGTGATAAACACACTTTGGGGAAAGGCAGTTCAAACCTTCACGGAAGGAACGGAAAATGTCTCCCAGTCTGCCTTGCAAATGAGGAAGAAATAGGGCCATGCTCTGAAGTTGAAAATGTGTGTCTTTTTTTAGTCATTAGGGAAAAAACCATCTTGTTTCAGGCCTTTCCCTGGGGAACCTTTGTGGGCACATCCACCTGACAGCTCCCATCCATAGTCACGAGGGAGGCCCGCTCAGGGATTTACGTGTTCTGGAAGATTTCAGGACAGGCAGCAGGCTGAAGAGCGTGTGTTGGGTTTGGACGTTTTCCTCTGTAGGGCTGGGGCCTCGGACGTGGTCGTGCAGCACGCGTGTGCGAGAATGCTCACCTTGCCCAGTCAGTGCGCTGGGAGACGGCGTGTGTTCGCTTCTTGTGCCACCTGGGACAGGCATTCAGAGCCGGGCCCAAAGGGGAGTGGGGAGGGGGGCCTTCAGAGAGCCCAGGGCCGCCACATTCCTGGGGCTGCTGGATGCGGGACTCCAGAGCGTGACTCAGTGTCTGTGTATCTCATTACACATAGGCTTTACAAGGAACCCGGGCACATGGTTCAGAAATCCTAAGTGTGTGTGCTCACTGAGCCCGGGGCCCAGCCCACACTCCAGTTCCGGAATGTTCTCTCCAGACTCCCTGAAGTGGCCCACAGAGTGTTTATACCAGGGCCGGGAAAAGCCAGATGACACTATGGAACCCTGACTCAGCCTGGGGCGGATTTGATCAAATCTAGCTTGTTGACATGACTCACAGCATATCCTACATTTTTTGGTAGAGACAGTATAAGGTGCTGTGTACGTGTTAAGTATGGTGATTTAATTAATAGGGACGCTACCTCAGGGAACACAAAGTGTGTTTTTGTGTTTTCAAAGATGTCTACAAATTCATGTTCTTACATCAATCTCTTCAAACTTACAGGAAGCTGATGGTCTAATTCTGATAAATATCGATAACGGGAGCGTCACCTGCTCTAATGACGAGGACGTCGATGTCCCGGACATCCCCCTGCTAGCGGCACAGACCTTCATTCAGAGGTAAAGGCGGGAGTCGTGTGTGCTTGGGGACGTCTCTGTTCCACTCTGTACTTGCCCGCTCTGAGTGTCTTGAGTATCTCTTCCATCTAACATTCCAGAGCCACCCTTTCTGTCTTTATAGTTTGGAAATTATTCGTGAATGTTTTAAGGTGAAAGTCATTAGTCCTTATTCTGATCTTGTCTACGTAGTACTCACGGCCCCACAGAGTCAGGTGATGGTCTCATCATCCCCCAGGGAACCTCCACCCTCTCTCTGTCACCCTGTTGTCTGCCTGGGACCTTTGAGGTTCCTTCCGCTCCTGCCTGCCTCCTTCCCTCCCTCCTCCCAACCTTCCTCCCTTCCCTCCCCCCCCTCCCCCCGGCATGAGACATGTATTCAGACCCGTGGGACGCCCCCCGCCCCGGGGCAGGATTTGTGTGCTGCCCCTGCCCTGCAGCGCAGAGGTGGGCATCCCACCCCCGACGAGATGTCTTCCTGTCTTCACCCCAGCCCCCGTTAGCGCTCTTACGGCCTCCTGCCTTGCTCATCGCGCGTATGGTTTTTCCAGCTCTGCTACCCGCGTCCTTGGCCTGCACCAGGCAGCAGCAGCTGCTTCCCAGAAGGGCCAGGTTAGGCCTTGCGGCCTGTAGTGGGGGTCGAGGACTTCTGGAGCCGCGTCTGGGGAGGGTGAAGGAGCTCTCGTTCCCATCTGCCAGGACGATGGTGCGTCCCGTGGTCGGGGTGTCTGGCCATCCAGGACGGGGCAGCACCGTGGCATCCTCGGTCGTGGCCCGCTGCTGGGTGTGTGCAGGGGACCTGAGCAGGGTGTGCTGGTGGAGTGTCTCCCTGTGTGAACCTACATTTGTAATTGTTCACTTTTTGCTGAGCAAGAGCCGCCTTCCGCTGACTCTGAGTCTGACGTTTCAGCTTTGGCAGGCGCTAGTGTTTGGTGCTTCTCAAGCGTGCGCTTCAGTGGCGCATCCCCAGTGGGATGGGGGTCTCGCACTTGTCTTTGTGGCATTGTCAGGATTCTAGAATATGCACCGTGGCTTGCGTCTCTGCTTGGCTGGACCCCCACATGGATGGGGTATCGTGCCTCCTCCAGTCTCAACCACGTGAGCTAACCCACGAGCAGCCGTGGCACATCTGTGAAGGCTCTGAGGCTGCACCGGGCAGTGGTGGTCAGTGTCCCCGGGGGTCCTGGAGTGTTGGAGTGTCCGCACGGGCCCTTTGGTGGGGCAGGCAGGACGGGAAGCAGCGCCCTTCCCCATGAGACGCCCCGATCCCACTCAGCCTCTCTGTCCCCCGTCATCCTCACCTGCACCTGACTGTGTGTTCATTGTGTCCTCCCTGCCGCCCCCCACCTCCCCGGGGCAGGACAGGGGCCCCAGCTCTCCCAGGCGGACTGTCGCAGAGTGCTCAAGTAGGAGGGACAGCCTTCTCCTCCAGCGGAGGGGTCGTCCCTGCACAGAGCTCAGAGGGGGAGGCTGCCACCACAGCTCTGTACGGATTCCTTCCCCGCGGCGCCCCCCGTGCTGCCAGGTGTGTGGCCAGCTCACGATCCTTCCAGGTGGCAGGTACCTGAACAGATCAGCTGAGGTCGGCGGGGCTGGGACACCTGTCTCCAGCAGTAGCTTCTTGTCACACGCGGGGCAAATCCAGAGTGCTCCCCGGCCCACCCCGGCCCCGCCGACCACTCAGACCTAGTCTCAGCCTGCCTCCCCCACCCCCCACGGCTCCCGTGGGGCCTCTGGCAGCTGGGTCCTCCCTACCTGCTCAGGGCCGTTTGTGTGTGTCTGGCTTTTCACCTTTCAGGTCCGAGGTCCTCGAGAGGCCCCTCCAGCCACCAGCCAGGCTTCTTCAGCTCTCTACTCTCTGATCCCCTCCTCCCCTCCCCCACCCCCACACCCTCCTATTTGGGGTGCACTCTTCTGTTTTTCTGTTTCTTCCCACTCGAACATAGGCCCCACCCTGGAGCTTTGCCTTTGGTCACCATGCAGCCCACACCCAGATGGTGCCAGCTGTGCAGGGGGTGCTTAGGAAACACGGGTGGGATGGGCGTGTGTTGGGTGTGTGTCTTCTGCATGTAAACCGCACACTTGCTGGTTGGTTTCCGAAGCTGCGGCCTTGATCGTGCGGGGGAGACTGGGGTGGCCCAATGCCGGTGCAGGATACATGGACACAGGGTTCCGCCAGGCAGCCGAGAGCCGTGACACACAGGGCGTTGGGTGCATCCGATTCTCCCAGACAGCGCATGGTGGTGGGAAGCTGCCGGCCAGGAGGCAGCCTGCACTGGAAACCCCTTGTCCTTCCTGGGGTGGGGAGTGCATACTCTTGCCAGGCAGAGCCGGGGGGAGGGACGGATTCGGTTTGGGTGAAAACGTGCACAGTCCACAGTGGAGGCCTTTGTAGGTTCAGCATGGATGAGCTGTTAGCATGGAGCGGTGAGTGGACTCTCTGGGGATGTATTTTTAGTGACCCAGCCCGGAAGTTCTTGATGGGTCTTCTGAGCATCCGGAGTGTTCATGCACCTGGGAGAGCATTCTCCCCACCCGTGAACAGCAGTCCCGGCCCGCGGCGTGAGCTGTGGTCAGCGTCCATCTCTCTTTTCCAGGGTCCAGAGCCTCCAGCTGCACCACGAGCTGGACCTTGCACACCTGGGCACCAGCACGGACCTGAACGAGGGGCGCACCCGCAGGCGGGCCTGGCAGCAGAGACTCAACTGCCAGGTGCAGCAGGTGGCCCTGCACCTGCTCTTCAGCATCTTCAGGTACCGGAGACCATTTCCTTGGCCGCGGTGGCTCAACCCCGAGTGACGTGGCTGAAATCCTTGCCCCTTCGGCCCCCGACCGCCTGTGGGGGATCGCACCAGTTGAGAGCTCAGGGCCAGCCCAGGGTGGGGACGCTCGGGTCACTGCGGGAATGAAGCCCACCCCCGAGGCAGCAGCACTCAGGATCTGTCCCCGTTCGAGAGCCTTCCTCTTTGTCCTCATTCCCGTGGGTGCCACCGTCCTGCAGGGTTTAGACCAGAGCCTTTGTGATTATCCAGTGGCTGTGTTCTTCAGATGTATATATTTCCGTAGAATAAATAATTGATCAGGAAAAAAATGGGACCGTGTATTGTAGACAGGTTGTGTTATCTCTGCTCAAAGCAGTATAGTTGGTGTGGACACAAATAGGTTCTTTTCATTTTGCTTTTTTGAAATGAAATCTTTCACGAGCAAGGTTGGGTTTTTTTTTTTTTAACACCTTATAAGCTTGAGGAATTCGTAAAAAAGCAGAGACTATGAATACAGAGGATCAAACTTTATGTCCCTTAGATAACTTTTCCCGACAACAGAAGGAAAGCGTTGAATGTCTGACACATGGAATGTGGCCCATGGGCTCGTTGATCCCACGTGTAGACTGCTTCCGCTGTGGCAGATTGTACGGGTTCACGCTCAGAGTCTGCCTGCCCTATGGGGTTGCCCCCTCGAGTCCGCTTTGTGTGTCATCTGCAGGAGGAAGTAGGGGCTGGGAAGGGAAGAGGCCCGTGACGGTCCCCCCCCAGGAGGGAAAGGCCGTGCTGGTGTCACCGAGCAGCTGGAGCAGACCACGCCCAAACCCAGCCCTCCCCGGGGTTGGAGCCCCCTTTCCGCGGCGGGGCTTTTGCAAAGGCTGGCCTTCCCGTCTTTCCTGTGTTGCTAAATCGTCATGACTCTCACGTATTTAAAAATAGTTCCACACTTAGACCGTTTTTCTCTTTATCAGGGAAGTGAAGAACCACCTAAATTACGAACACAGAGTGTTTAATAGTGAGGAGTTTCTCAAAACCAGGGCTCCGGGGGACCAGCAGTTTTATAGACAGGTGAGGAGCGAGTGGGGCTGGTGTGTGCATGTGCGCATTCTGTCCTGCATACGTTTCTGTATTTGCAGCATTATTCAAAGTACATTTTTTCAGCATCTGTTAGTATTTTATGAAGTATTAACGTTTCCAGAAGGTTTCTTTCCACATGGTTCCTTTGGACACTTTGGCCCCCTGTTTTTTGATCCACTTTTCAGAGTATAATTTACCTGTCATGAAATGCACCCATTTTCAATGTAGCGGGCGATAAATTCTGACAGATGTGTGTGCCTGGGAGCCACCTCCTCGGTCCGGATCGGGACCTCTCCATCAGCCCGGATGGCTCCCGTGCCAGGCGCGCGGCCGCGGGGCCTTTCCGTCCGATGCGGGAGGCGGCGGTGGCTCTGTCCACCTGCTCACGAGCCTGTGGGACGCTTCCGTTCTTGTCTGTTATGAGCAGTCGTATCTGGGGCTTCGTGCTGGCAGGTGGTGCAGCTGGCGCCGATCTTCTGGGTCCTTTAGGGCTGCTTTCACACTTTTCGGGTGGCCTCTCTCGGTGGCGCCCTGTCCAGCTGATGACCAGAGGGGCGGGTGAGGCTCACCCCCGCGCCGCGGCTCCCCTCATGACTGAGGTCCCCACAGCAGTCATTCACGTCGGCCGGCCAGCAGCCTCTGCCTCTCTCCGGGCACTGCCCGTGCCCTCATGTCTGCTCTCTGACATTTGCGGGACAGACTCCACGCTCCCCCCGTTTGCGGGCGCCCCGGCCGTCTGCTCCCTCTGCGCTCACTCCCCGGGGCACAGAGCCCGGCCTGCGGGCCCGATGCTGCCCACGGGAGACCCTGCTGTGAAAGGCACCACGGAGGAGCACAGGGGGAAGCCACAGGGACGCACGTGGGGCCAGAGCAAAGCCGGGAGCCCCATGCGCAGCCGGGTCACAGCTGTGACAGGCGCCTGGGCCGAGCTCCCCGCTGTCCACCTCCTTGCTCCGCCAGCTCGTGGAGAGTACTCCAGCAGTCCCCGGGAACCAGGCTGCCACCTCCCATCCTGCTGCGTGTCCGCTCCTGCCTTCATTCTCCTGCGGGTGTTTTGTACGTGGGGTTTCCAGCACCCTCCTCGTGGGCCCTGTGCCCCTGCAGCCCTCCTGTCGCCAGGCGGGGCGGTGTCTCCTGGGCCTTGTCCCCTGCAGGCTGCTGGAGCACAGCAGGGAGCAGGGTAGGGACAAGCACCAGCTGCTGGAGGGTCACCTTGTCCAGCGAGAGACCAGCAGCTGGGTCATGGGAGCCACGGGTGGGTGCCAGACCGTGCACCTGCTGTGAGGAGGGGGCTGTGGTCCCCGGAGATCTGGAATCACAGGCCACAGGGCACCGTGGCTCTTGCCGTCGTGAGGGGAAGGTGGTTGAGCTTTTGAACGTTTGGTGGTTTTTCAGACACAGACTGGCCGGTCCTTCGCGGTGGCCTGGGGAGGTCCTGGAGGCTAGCGTGGCAGGGTGGGGTCAGTGAAGACAGCTGCCGCTTAGGAACTTGTGTCCAAGGAGCTGGGGGTCGGGGAGAGGCTGCGGCCGGTGGGGAAGGGACCGGGCAGCCGCTGCAGGCGCCCCGGCGGCACAGCGAAGGCCAAGAGCGCGGCGGTAACTGGCCTTCCGTGGTCTGTTTCAGGTGTTGGATACCTACATGTTTCACTCTTTCCTTAAAGCCCGGCTCAGTGGAAGGATGGACGCCTTCGCCCAGATGGACCTCCACATGCAATCCGAAGAGGACAGGTGCTGTCTGCAGTGTGCAGGCACAACTCTGGGGACCAGACGCTCGAGTAGCATGGATTTATTTGGGTGGATGAATGATACACCCGACCAGAAAATCTCATTCCGAAACTTGTAACACGTCGGGCTTGTCCCCGAGCGTTTCTGTTGGGGGCGGGGGGGACACCGAGCATAGCGCTACTGCCCTGCCATCCACTGCCGTCCGCCTTCCCTCTCCTGCCGCATCGCCACCGCCCCCCCGTGCTATTCCAGCTCTTCCCACACTGTTCCCCACAGACTTTGTTTATGTGTGTCCCTTCGGGGGTATGGTCTGTCGTCCAGCCGCTGGCTACACCGGGGAGACTCCGACACGGTTCTCCTGCTGTTTTCCCCTGGCACGCGGGAATAGCGGGCGACAGTGTCGCGTGGGAGAAGAGGCTCAGGCGCGGAGACGTATTCTGTAGTCGTTCTTCTAGCTAAACAGTGTTGCTTTTTTCTGACCTCAGATTTAACGGGATGCTGGCAAGTCCAAGAAGACCGACCATTGAGAAGATGGCCTCACGGAAATCCTCACCCCTGCACGTCGCTCACAGGAGGATGGTGGTCAGCATGCCCAACCTGCAGGACATCACCATCCCCGAGCTGCCGGCCCGGAACTCGTCGCTTCGCAAAGTGGATGCCTCGGAGTGCAGTAGCGGCAGCACAGGTGATAAACCGGCCCCTGTCCGGGCGCTGCTCCGCCGCTGGGCTCTGCTGTGGCCAGTCGCTAACACAGCCAGGGTCTGCTCAGTGCAAGGGGATGGGTGTTTGGCCTGTGTGTGTGTCTGCGTGTACTTACAAAACACACGTTGACACGTGTCCGCGTCTGACGGACATGACTGGCAGGCCCCAGCAGCCGCCACGCTCGCTCTAGATCCTGGGGTACGAAGGGCCCGGTGTCCCAGCCCTCGTGGAGCTGCTCTCCCGGGAGGAGGCCAGACCAGAAACAGATAAACACGGAGCGACGGGGTGTGCGGTGTCCCGGCACGAAGGAAGCGGCGTCAGGGGTGGTGACGGGGGCTCAGGTGTGACAGCCACGTTTCAGCAGACACGGAGGGAATGGCGAGGCCAGGCCACTCCAGTGGCAGGTGGCAGGCGGAGGGACAGGAAGGGCCCGTGGGTGCCATGACGGGAGCAGCTCCGTCTGGGAGGCGGGCCTGTGTGCACAGCTCCAAATGTCAGCCGGGAGTTTCCTTGGCGTGTAAAGTGCTCTAGAACACGTGTGCACGTGTGCGAGCCTGTGTCTCCTTTCTGCGTGAGCTGCAGCAACACGAGCCACGTGTGCCTCAGGTATTTACCCTCAGGGCCCCCGCCGTGCGGTTCCATCCACAGTGGCCAGGAGAAACGGGTGAGGCCAGGCGCCGTGAGCCGGGGGGGCCCTGAGGCCGCTGCCTCGGGCTAAGGCCCCAGGTACCAGTTGGTGCCTCCTGACGACCGTGCACAGCAGAGTGGCAGTCTGAGTGAGGGGCGCACCCAGCCGGCCTCAGGAGGGGCCGTGTGTCCAAGAGAAAAGTCCTCAATGCCAGAGCACGCGTTCTGGAGGCGCCTGCTGGGTCTGAGGCCCCTCACAGCGGCCTCCTGGCTGTGTGACCCTGGGCAGGTGGCTTCACCTCTCTGGGCCTGTAGTTCTTCTGTAAAACCCAGTGATGCTTTTCACCCCTGGCTGTGCTCACTCTGCTGTGGGAAGGCACTCTGCCCTCTCTGCCCCCTGAACCTTCACCTGGAGCCCCCCTTCCCCTCCCAGTCTCCTCCCTCTCCCCCAGGCTTCACGGCGGAGACGCCACCTCCGTGGGGTACGTGGCCTACCTACAGGACTGGCCTGGTCCTGGTCCCCTGGTGCCACCTGAGAGACACTTCAGTGACATTTGTGGAAGGAATCGGTGTGACACACCTGGATTAGGTTGGCTCTGGCATTTAGTAGCTGGGCACCTGGGGCGCACAAAGCCTCAGTTTGCACGTCTGTATGATGGGGTGGATGGCAATGGCCGTCTCACAGAGCAGGCGCATCTCGGCTTGGGTCATCGGCTTAACCCTCCCATGAAGACTCGCTACCAGATGTTTCTGTTTAACGCTAGAGTCTTAGCAAATAAAATTATTCCGTATTCTCAAGGTGCCATGGAAGCAGAGTGGGGGGACCCCCATTCAGCTCAGGGGCACGTGGAGCTTTCTGGAAGAGGCATAGAGTTTCTCACTTGATGTTGCACCCAGGGCCCAGAAACGTTAACCCGGACGAGATGACAGGGACCCAGGTCTGTTTTTCGGGTCTGCTGATTGTGTGCGTGTTTCCTCTCGGCTCTAGTTCTGAGTGTGACCCCGAAGCCGACGTATACGTTCAAGATCCCGGAGATTCACTTCCCCCTGGTGAGCCAGTGCGTGCAGGCCTACTACTCCGACTGCGTCGCTCTGCTGAGCAAGGCCATGAGCCTTCTGGCGCCCGACAACTCCGTGCTCCTGGCACGGTACTTCTACCTCCGCGGGGCCGTGCACTTGATGCACGGGCAGCTGCTGGACGCCCTCCTGGACTTCCAGAGTCTGTACAAAACAGACATCAGGATCTTTCCTGCTGACCTTGTTCGGAGGATGGTGGGGTCCCTGTCAGGGCCCCAGCGCGCCCAGGCCGAGCGGGTGCCCGAGCTGCGGCGGCTCATCAGTGAGGTGGTGGACAAGCCCGGAGAGGCCCCCAAGCCGGACGACCGCGTGAAAAACTTCGAGCTGCCCAGGAAGCACATGCAGCTGGACGATTTCGTGAAGAGGGTTCAGGAGTCGGGCATCGTGAAGGACACCAGCATCATACACCGACTATTTGAGGCGCTAACCGTAGGTAAGAGGCCGGCCGTGGCCCAGATGGCGAGGCGTAACCACTGGGGACGGGTCCGCAAACCGTGCCGCGAGCTCCCGTGCGGGGAGGCCCTACCCGACGTGGGCAGTTACAGGATGGGGGGTGAGGGGCCGCCCAGGGTCTAGGGGAGTGTGACCAGAGAGCCTGAAGCCGCGGCAGGCTGGCTCCTGTCCTGGGGCCCCTGCTCGCTGTGCCATCCCCCTGGCGGTGGGAACGCTTCACACGACCTGACGGCGCAGACAGGAGTGCCGCCTTGTCCCGCGATTACTGCCGCTGCCTGGCTCGTTTGGGACCTTTCTGCCCCCCGCAAGGGACCACCATCCCCAACTGGAGCCTGCCCCTCCACTGTGTGTTTACGTGTTTACTGCACGCGGTACGTAGGCGTGTGTGGTTTTAAATGGCCCGAGCGTCCCGCCGCCTCAGGCTCGTCGCCGTTGGGCAGCCTTCCGTGCTGACGCGCGTGCGCCTGGTTTCTCCACCACATCTTCCGACGCTGGGGGAGCGGGAGCCAGCACGGCGCACCTGTGTGTGGCCACCGGGTGGCGTCCGGGCGTCTTATTTTCCCAAATACTGACGCGGCGGGTTTCACGTACCTGCTGCCCTACGTGGTTGTGCACGGGTCTCCCTGTGACTCGTGCCAAGAGGCCCAGTCTGGGCGCGGGTACCACCATCCTGACGGTGAGCTGCCTCCTTGCCCTCGGCGGCTGCAAGGCCGGGGACACACCCACGTCCCGCCACCGCCGGGCAGCGCTGGGCATCGTCCGCCCCGGGTGGTGGGTCAGTGTGACGAGCGTCCGCTCGCCCGCTCGGAGCTGCTCTGGTGTCGTCTGTCCATTTCTACACCAGGATGTTCGCCTTTTCCTTACAGCGTGTGGGAGCGCCTGGTGTCCTCTGCACAGGCTGTCCTTTGCCAAACGCGGGCCTCTCTCCTTGGTCTCGTCCGTGGCTCCGTGGGTGGGCTCAGCCACGCAACACTCTTTACCTAGATGGGTCCTGCTGCCCCCGCCAGGAGGAGGAGCCGATCGCCCGTTCGTTGGCCCCAGGCACTCGGCCTGACCAAGGTGCAGGCCAGTCCGGCCCTCGCTGGTCACCTCCCTGTGTGGTGCTCTGGAGATGCCACAGAGAAGCGACACCGTGTTGGCCCGGGCAGGGCGCAGTGGAGCGCATCTCGTTGGGCACCCAGGAGGCACCCGTGGGGCGGACAGCTTGGGAGGATGAGCTCGGTCCGAGGGGAGACAGGTGCTCGCAGAGAGCCCTGGGCAGCAGTGCTGGGGCTGCCAGGAAGGGGGAGCATGGGCCCCCATGACTCGTGCCTCTCAGGGGAGACCCTGCCCCTTCCCTTTACACCGGGGCCGGCCAGTCCAGTGGCCTGAGATACGGTGGATACAGCCACTGGTGGTATTGTTCTTGGGGAACGAGATGTCCAGGTTGTGCCTGGCTGTTCCTGGACGTCACCAGGCTCCCCTAGCATGGCCGTGTTGTTTCACGGCACGAGATGCTGATGGCCCCAGGTGGCGCTGTTCTCCCGGCAGGAAGAGGAGGGTCTGTCCCCACTCCTGTGGCCAGAAGCGTGTCCCACAGTACGTAGCTGCCTGGGGAGCATGGTTTAATGGCTGGACGCATGGACAGTGTCCAGCATTTCCAGACTTATGCTAGCAGGGACGCGGAGGACGCCCGGGAGGGCACCGGCAGACATGGCCCATGCTGATGGGCCATTGATGGCCCGGTTGTCATTTTGGGTCCATTCACATTGCAAAACACATCCGTCAATGGTCCCGACTCTGGGACGTGTGAGCCGCTGTAGGGCAGCACCAGATGGGTGTTTTGGCCTAATGGCCACGTGTTAGAAAAGCTCTATTAAATCAGAGATGAATGTTACCACCTTGGAATGAACAGCTGTGGTCTAAGAACACACCTGAGATTTTATTTAGGAGATTCCTGTCACTGTTTTGTCATTACATGTTTTTATAGACGTTTCAAAGTCCGGTGTTGACACTGCAGGACCAGTAATTCCCGAGGGGCCGCAGGGCAGGGAGGTGGATGCGTGCGTGAGCCTGGGGTTCCAGAGCCGCCGCCTGCACCGCAGGTGATGGGGTACGGGAGGGAAAAGCCGGCATTTCTGGGTGGAACTGGGGACAGGTGAAGCATACGTGACCTGTCTGCACGGGCGTGTGTAGAAGCCGTGGTGGGGCATAGCAGCCCCCGGTGTGCGCAGCGGGCGTGTGAGGAGCTCACAGATGTACGCGGTGGCTGCAGGCTTGCACCGTCCAGTTGTGCGGCAGCCCCGGAGGGTGTGGTGGCCAAGGCCTGCAGATGGCTGCAGGGATGGCCCCCTTGGGCCAGACTGTCTGGTGGCTGTGATATCCAAGTCCCCAGGGGACTCTCCCCCTGACACCATGTTATGGAGCCGGAGCAGGGATGCGGCTGCCCTGGAGCTTTCCTGCATCTTTTGTCCATTTCCGGTCTGGCCTCCAGCAGGGCTGGCTGGGGAGGACACAGCTCCTGCTCTCCCAGCCGCCTCAGCAGGAAGGCACAGCCACCCACCCACACAGCCGGGCCCGGCTCCACACTTAGCCTGCCAGCAACGGCCTTCCTCCCCGTGCCTTGGTTTCCCGATTTGTGAACAGCCTAACAGTGCCTGCCTCCTGAGGGGGTGGGAGGATTGAGCGGGACCCCGTGTTGTGGGGAGTGGTACGTGAGTGAAATGTGTGTGCAGCTTCAGGGAAGGGAGCACGTGAGCTGTTTTATCTGGGTCTTGGGCAGGATGCGTAGGAGTTTTGTGGTCCAAGCACCCTGGACCAGTGTGTGCAGAGGCACGTGACATAGGCCTGTTTTGGAATATACTCAGTGTGACTGGACTGTGGGAGTGTGAAGGGGCACAGGGGCCCAGTCCTGGAGGGATTTTGGGCCTGGTGTAGAGGAGGAGCCCTGAAGTGTTTGAATGGAAGAGGGAGCGCCTACTTGTATCTTAGGGCATTCCGGGCGCCAGGTGCAGCAGCTGCGAGGCTGTGTGGGCGTTTGTGCCTGTGCAGGATGGGAGGGGCCTCTGCGTGACCGAGGGATGCGGAGCAGAGGCGGGCGTGACCGAGGGATGCGGAGCAGAGGCGGAACCCGGCCACAGCAGCAACAGACACGGGGAAACGTGGGCATCAGAATGGGCTGGACTTCTTGGCAGTCGGGTGGAGTGGCAGTGGGGTGGTCCCATTTCCGCTGCATGGATGAGCAAGTGGGTCCGTTACACAGCTTGCTTGAAGTCCCACCACTAACCAGGAAAGCTGGGCTTCAGATTTGGGTCTCTCTCTGACTCAGAGCCCTTGACTCTTGGGCATTTAGAAACGTTACTATATCAAGTTCATCTTGGTTACAAATAAGACTTATTTGCTCATGTAAGCAGAGAATACTGAGATAGGGCTAGCTTCAGGCAAGGCTTGATCCAGTGATGGAGGAGCGTCACCAAGGGTCTGGTCTCTTTAGCATTAGCTTCATCTAAGGACTAGCTAGCTCCCCTCACGGCCCCACGATGCCTGCCGCCAGGTCTAGTGGTGACCCAGGGCTTTGCCACCGTAAAGCGTGTCCTGAGAGTTACTGTGGCCGCTGGGCTCAGGTCACAGGGCAGCCCCTATCCCCTGGTTCGAGTGCCCGTCCTCCACGGGCAGGTGGGGTGGGAGACGTGGGTGCTGGCGCCACCTGCTGGCCTATGTGGGCAGCGCACCGCGTCTTCTCCCACGCAAGGGCTGTGTATGTGGCTCTAAGAAATCTCTCTTCTCTACAAAACCAAGGACACCAGAAACAGATTGACCCAGAAACATTCAAAGATTTCTACAACTGCTGGAAGGAGGCAGAAGCAGAGGCCCAGGAGGTCAGTCTGCCTTTGTCGGTGATGGAGCACCTGGATAAGAACGAGTGTGTTTACAAGCTGTCGAGCTCTGTCAAGACGAATCACGGCGTGGGCAAGATCGCCATGACCCAGAAGCGCCTGTTCCTCCTGACGGAAGGGAGACCGGGCTACGTGGAGATTTCCACCTTCAGGAACATAGAGGTAAGAGCACAGCCGCTGGATTGTGCTGTTTGCTAACTTGAGGTGCCCTTTCGAGTGTAAAGGTGGTCGTCTTCCCCACTGAGGACGCTCGGCTGTGGCCTCGTCTCAAGCGTTATATTTATTTTCGAGAGGCGTGTTGGATGTGTTAATCCAGCTCTGAATACTCCTGGAGATGGGAGAGGCAGGAAGGTACCGCAGCCGTGGTGAACGCTGGCCCGTGGGTCCCCCCCCCGTCCTCCAGTCCCCCCCACACCTGCTTCCACAGACTGCCTCCTGGAATTCCAAAGAAAGAGAAGCATTTCGGGAGGCAGAGGAGTGAACCCTGTTTGAGCCCTGCGGACGAGCGCCTTTGTGCGGATGTGCTAACAGGTCACGCCCGTGGTCGGCCAGGAAGGGGTCCCCGACCTGCTGCGACCAGTGTCTGACAGCAGGGTCGCACGGAGGCCCCTCTCTCGGGCCGTCCCTCTCCTCCCGCCCGGGGCCGGGTTCTGCCTGGGGCTCCCTGCGCCGCACCCCGGCCAGCCCCCCACTCTGCCCCCTCGGCCCGGGGCCTGCCTTCACGCTCGGGCGCCGGCTGCTGAGCCACCTTCCCTTGCTGACCCCCGAGTTCCTGCCAGGGGGCATCTCTCTGACCTGCTGCTGCTTTTTCTGCCTCCACAGGAAGTGAGAAGTACCACCGTAGCGTTTCTGCTTCTGCGAATACCCACTTTAAAAATTAAAATGGCGTCCAAGAAAGAAGTGTTTGAAGCTAATCTGAAGACGGAGTGTGACCTGTGGCACCTGATGGTGAAGGAGATGTGGGCCGGGAAGAAGCTGGCTGACGACCACAAGGTCTGGGGGATGCGGGTGCCTGCTCATTCCAACTCACGGCTCGTCTCGGGGGCTCGGGCGTGGTCCCGTGAGCACGTGTCGGTTAGACGAGGTCCCTCCAGAGGCCCTGGAGATGCTGTGGTTTGTATGGCCCAGTGCGTGGCCAGTGGCATCTGGGGACACTGTGGAAGGACCGGGGCTGGCCTCTGAGGTCTGAGTTGGGTCTCCCGGGCACACCCTGCTCCAGGCGTCTCCTCTGCCACCTCCCAGGACTAGGATTCTGGCAGGGGGCACATCCTCCAATAGACTTTAGAGCCTAGGGATTTGTGTGCTTTCACTTGCTTTGGGCCACAGTAGCTTTGAGTACACGGAGTGAGGATTGCATGGGCGTGAAGGGCACCACGGACAGAGGCCCGGATGGGGCACCGGTGGGGCGAGAGGTCTGTACCGTCTAAATGGCAGATAAGGCCAGAAAGCCCACAACCCAGTGCACAGAGCATGGATGGGGACTCACGGGGCAGGTCAGGGGCCGCAGAGGGGTGCACAGCCCACAGTCAGAGGGAAGGTGGGGGAGGCAGCCGCCGCCACAGGGGCGAACATTAGAAAGAACAGACTGTGTGTGGTGGGAGCACCGGCCGTCATGAGGGAGTCGCCAGGCACTAGGGGGCCTAGACCATGGCTATGGAGGGAGTCTTTCTATCTGGAGAAGGGAGGGGGACCAGGTCCTTTCCAGGGCCCCAGCACTCCGTGACTTTCCAACCAGCCATCTGATTTATGCCTGCTGCTGTTTTTTGCACAACAGTACAAACTGGAGCCCGTGGGCCATGGACCACCTCTGGCTGTTTTCAAGCCCGGCCACAGAGCCGAGTGGTTGACACAGAGATCCCAAGGCCCACGGAGCCCCAAGTTTTATTAGCTGCCTGGCCCTTTGCAGAACACGTTGGCTAGCGCCTGTATAAACGATCGGTGTTTGTCTTCACTAAGATGGACAAAGTAGTCACATGACATCAGCTCCAACGTAAACCGAGTTGCCTTGAAAAAACACGCCTCTTCAAAGGTGTGGTTTGATGTAATGTCCCAAAGTCTCGCAGGCGTTTTATGGACTTGTTGAAGTGAGCGCCTTTCTCCCACAGGACCCTCAGTACATCCAGCAGGCGCTGACGCACGTCCTGCTGATGGACGCCGTGGTCGGCACGCTGCAGTCGTCCAGCGCCGTCTATGCCGCTTCCAAACTGTCCTACTTCGATAAGATGAAGAGCGAAAGTAAGCGAAGCATGCGTTCGACAGCCGTGGTGTCCCGAATGTGCCTCCGTACTTTTATTGGGTTGACATCACTTTTTTCCGAATCCCAAATTTCTCACTTTCTTCCTTTTACACTTTTACACGTTTATGTTTGAGCAGCACACGTCCTTCTGTTCGCCCGTCCCCGGGCGTTCTGTGTGTACCCACACCCACGGAGGGACTTCCTGCTTGAGGTCTGAGTGACGTCCCACAAACGCTGGGTGTTTTTTGTCAGGATTCCCAGTTGCCAGCAGCAGATCTCCAGCAGCTGGTTACGTGGAAGAGGGATTTGTGGACGGCTGTTGAGTGGCTCGTGGAGCTCCTGGCAAGGTCACCAGTGCTCAGCAGTAGGGAACGCGCCCACTGGAGAGCTGTGTGCGTGGTCGGTGTGTCAACTAGAGCCCAAGCGGAGGCCCCCGGGTGGACGGATCTTTTCTTCCCCTTGATGTGGTCGGTTTCCCCAGATAGGAATTCTCTGATCACCTGCATGTAGATCTGAATCTGGCTCTCACATTCTGGAAGCCATACAGAGAGAGATTGGCAGTAGGCTATTTTTATTTGGCAGGGGGTGGATTTTTCAAGCCTAGGAAACAGCAAATGGGTAAGAATAACTTTACGTATCATTTTAGCTACCTCTGTTTTGTTTCAACTTTTAAATGATCTAAAGCGAACGGTCTTGTGATTTGCTTTATAAAGAAGAGAATACAGAGGACTGCTTATTATTACCATCACTCCAAGCCACGGCCGCCCTGTGCTAGGTCCACCAACAACATCAAGTTCGTGAAACACAGGCGAACTACGTAGGGATGTTTTTAAGACCATCTCTGGTCCTGTCTGTATGCACTGTTTTTTGAATCACAGCTTTACTGAGATGGAATTTACACACCATACTCAGGGAGGATGTACAACTCCCATGGTTTTAGCGTATTCACGGACTTGTGCAGCATCAGCAGAGTGAACTTTATTTTTTTTTTAAAGATTTTATTTTTATTTATTTGACAGAAAGAGAGAGAACAGGAGCCAGGGGAGCAGCAGAGAGAGAGGGAGAAGCAGACTCCTCGTTGAGCGAGGAGCCCGACATGGGGCTTGATCCAGGAACCCTGGGATCATGACCTGAGCCGAAGGCAGACGCTTAACTGACTGAGCCACCCAGGCGCCCCAGCAGAGTGAACTTTAGAACATCTTCATCGCCCCAGAAAGAGACCCTGTACACTTAGGAGCCACCCCTAGCCCCCAAGCAACCACCGATCCACTCTCTCTCTGGATTTGCCTGTACTGGGCACTTTATATACACGGATCCTACAGCACGTGTCCTTCTGCGAGTGGCTTCTTTCATTTAGCACAGTGCTCTCAGAATCCATCCCTGAAGCAGGTGTCCCGTGTCACTCCATCCTGTGGCTGAATAATATTCCATCGTGCGGGTGGACCACTTTGTTCATCCGTTGTCAGCTGACCGTTTGGGTTGTTTGCACCATTTGGTTTGTTGCAAATAATGCTGCTGTGAACACTTTGTGGACAGGTTTTGTTTGGGGATGTTGTCATAGCTCCTGGGTGCATAGCTGGAGATTCTGGTTTTTAAAAAAATGTTTTTCCAGATGTAGAAAAAACAAATCTCAGTTAAGTGTTCATTCGCTTTGGCATGTGTTGCTCTTTGCCACGGCTGTCACTAACTGTGAGGTCCCTGATGCTTCCTGATCCCAGACCCCCCCCATGTGTCCTGGACCTCACCCCCATCCCAGAACCCCCTTTCCTGGGAGCAGGCAGGATGCTCTGGTCACAACACCAGCAGACTGGGAGGAGCTCTTGTCAACAGTCCTGGAAGCAGACGTTGGTTGCTTGTTATTTTTTTCATTAGGAACAAAATCCAACACTACAGTTCAGCTGTTTATTCTCAGTCCAAGCTCAGGCCTCCCCTTCATCAAGAGTTTCTGCAAAAGCCGCCTGACTCCTTTATGAATGAGGCACGTCACCTCGGTGGTCGCCAACACCTGTCAGCTCACTCTTAACTGTTGTCCACCCTGTCCCATATGGTGAAGGCAGGTTGTCTAGGCTCAGTGTCCCTGACGCCTTGTCACCCACAAGGACTGCTCTCTGGTGAGCACAGCTTGATGAGGTAAAGGCAGTAAGCCCAGGTTTCGGTTAGTAGCCTGGGGTCCACTCATGATGGAAGGTCTAAAAATGAATCTCTATGAAGTTCCGCACCCCATCCCGGCAGGAAGGCATTTGGGGATGGGGGAGACACCTGTGGTTGTGTGGGGTGCTACCCGCATCTCCTGGTGAGGCCAGGATGTTGCTGACTGTCCCGCAGAGCACAGGTCGGTCCCCAGAGCAGCCATACCTATGGCCCGAGATGTCCATGGTGCCCAGGCTGAGTCTGCTCTCGGGCTAGTCGTCTTGGTTTTGTCTTGAGACTATTTAGTCACTGAGAAATGTTTTAGGTCTTGTCTTTGGTGGATAATTGGTGATGGCTGAGTGTGGACAGAGGTCAGATCACAGCTTCCCAGCTGGGACGTGAGCGGCGTGCCGGTCTCACCGGCGGTCCTCACACAGAGCAAGGGAGGGAGGCCGCCCGGAGGGGGATGCCTTATTCTGATGTCTCGTGTCAAGTGTACGAAGCGCCTGCAGAGAGCAAGTGCCCAGGCTGGGGGAGAACACGGGTTTCCCTGAGTCCGCGAGACTAATGGAGTGCTTGCATTTCAGTGCCCTTGACGGTCCCAAAGACAACCTCGGAAACCCTGAAGCACAGGATAAATCCTTCAGCGGGAGAGACTTTCCCACATGCCGTGGACGTCTTGTTGTACACGCCAGGTGAGGCAAGCAGCTTGCTTGTTGCTGCTCTTTTCAACACGTTGGGGACACTGGGTTTGTGTTTGAGGTCAGCCCTGAAGTGAAGGGGGACAGGACCTGTGGTAGGACGACTGGGGACCAGGCAGATTTCTACTTGTTGAGGTGAAGCCCTCAGTGAGGAGGTGAAGCTGGGTAGCCGCTCATGGACTCCATCTTGTGAAGACCAGAGCCTGGGAGCCTGCGGAAACCCCGCATCGTGGAGGCCGAAGCCTGGAGGCCGCGGACACCCCGCATCGTGGAGGCTGGAGCTGGGGGAGCCTGCAGAGACCCCGCATCAGGAAGATCAGAGCCTGGAGGCCACGGAGAGCCCCGCATCGTGGAGGCCAGAGCTGGGGGAGCCCGTGGGGACTGATATGGGGTGGACACTCCATGGAGACTCTGCTCCAACCCAGCTGTTCCTCATGTTGCACAGCACTCTACAGTTTAGAAAGTACTTGCACTCACACCCTTTCCTCCGGGGGCACTTAATCCACACGGCTGTCCGACACCCGGGATCTCGTCTCAGGAATTGTCTGTGCATTTGCGCGTCCGAACGCGTCACCACACGGGTCCTCTTCATCCGGCGCGGCTGTGTGGCCGCCCTCCCGGATGCGGACCTCCTGGCTCCCCGCCGGCTGCAGCAGAACGAAGGTCGGACAGGAATGGACGCTGCCACGGGTCTAAGCAGGAACGAGGATGCTTTTCTTTAAGTCTGACTTGTAAAGAATTGCAGTGGGAGGGTTGCTCGCAGGGCTCACCAAGTTGGAAAACAAAGGATGTCATTCTGGGCACTAAAGAACCTTGCGGTCCGGGCACTTTGCTCATCGGAGCATGAGGTGAGTGACGGTGAGCACCATGGGTGTGCTCCCCTGTCCCCTTCGTGGTTCTGACTCCATGGCTGTCCCCAGCTCACTGGTTCCAGATGGCCATATGGCAGCTGGGTGGCAAAGCCATTTCCTGGCGGGAGAGGACAGTGTTATCTCTTCACCGATCGTCCTGAAGACCCTGCAAAGTGACAGACTGAGCGTAAAGGAGGACAGAGCCCGGTTGGACCTCGCCCCACTGGAGACGGACCAGATTCCTCCAGTCAAGGCTCCTTGTTGACTCTTACACCACAGACTGAGACAGTTTTCATTGTGGTGTCTGGATAAATGAGTATTTTTAGACCTAATTCAGTTTCCTGTACATTAACATTGACTGGATTCTGGGCCTCCTGTCATGATGGGCTAGGTAACTCTGAGAACATCTAGAAGGGCCAGACAAACCACCATGAAGAATGGTGGAGCCCCTTTCTCCTGGGGATTGTCTGCCAACTCTGGAAGTGGTCTCTGAGAAGTGAGGAACTGAGCAGAGCTTTGGCCAGCACCGAGGGGCAAGAGGGACAAAACCAGCCAGGACCTGCTGAGAAGGGGAGTCCTGGTAAACCCGTTGGTGGTGGCTCCAGACTCCAAGGGTTACCCGAGTGTTAAGGAGCCAGCCCTCTGGCACTGAAGCCCAGCCTCAAAGCATCCCAGTCCCTGGTGGGATTGAGGAGTGTGTGGGGTGGTATCTCCCCAAGGGGGCCCAGAGGCCAGTGGAATGAATACCCCAGAAAGATGGACACATTTGTGTTTCCTTGATTTATGACAGAGGTGATATGACCGAGCAGGGGTTTGAGGGAAAGACAGTCGTCACCATAAATGACGTTGGGACATCGTGCATCCGTATGGAAAACACGAAGCGTGGCCACACTTCAGGTCATGCACAGTTCCAAGTGGATGGAAAGGTACATGGGAAGGCACTAACAAGCGTAAATGAATGAAGCAGGCAAGCTTCTAGCAGCTAACATAGAGGAGCATGTTCGTGACCTCAGGGTAGAGAAGGAAACCGTGCAGAAGTGCTAGCCATGAAAAGATTGGTGGATTTGACCACTAAGATTATGGACTTTAAAAAGACACTTTCCGGGCGCCTGGGCGGCTCAGTAGGTTAAGCGTCTGCCTTTGGCTCAGGTCATGATCTCCGGGTTCTGGGATCGAGCCCTGTGTCAGGCTCCTTGCTTAGCAGGGAGCCTGCTTCTCCCTCTGCCCCTTCCCCCCAACTCATGCTCTTTCGCTTGCTCTCTCAAATAATAAATAAAATCCTAAGAAAAAAAGAAAAGGACACTTTCAAGAGAGTGAACAGGGTAGTCTGGACTTGGACAGGATGCTGGTAACACAGCAGAGCCAACAAGCGGCTCAAGTCAAGGAGAGTAACACCACCCAGTTCAGAAGTGAGCAAGAGACAGAACACCTCCCCACAGAAGATTCCCTCCGCATGGCAGTTAAAGCCGTCAGCCGCTTGTGCAATCAGGGAAATGCAAAACCAATCACAATGCAAAACCCCATATCCTGACACTGTTAGAATGGCCAAGATGCAGGACCGACCCCGCCGAGTGTCAGTGACAATGTGGAGCCTGAGGTGTGTCACACAAAGCAAAAATGAACTATTGGGACTTCGTCAAGACAAAAAGCTTTTGCACAGCAAAGGAAACAGTCAACAAAACCAAAACACAACTGACAGAATGGGAGAAGATATTTGCAAATGACATATCAGATAAAGGCCTAGTATGCAAAATCTCTAAAGAACTTCTTAAACTCAACACCCAAAGAACAAATAATCCAATCAAGAAACGGGCAGAAGACATGAACAGACATTTTTCCAAAGAAGACATCCAAATGGCCAACAGACACATGAAAAAGTGCTCACATCACTCATCAGGGAAATCCAAATCAAAACCTCAATGAGATACCACCTCACACTGGTCAGAATGGCTAAAATTAACAAGTCAGGAAACGACAGATGTTGGCGAGGATGCGGAGAAAGAGGAACCCTCCTACACTGTTGGTGGGAATGCAAGCTGGTGCAGCCACTCTGGAAAACAGTATGGAGGTTCCTCAAAAAGTTGAAAATAGAGCTACCATACGATCTAGCAATTGCACTACTGGGTATTTACCCCAAAGATACAAATGTAGGGATCCGAAGGGGTACGTGCACCCCAATGTTTATAGCAGCAATGTCCACAATAGCCAAACTGTGGAAAGAGCCAAGATGTCCATCGACAGATGAATGGATAAAGAAGAGGTGGTATATATACACAATGGAATATTATGCAGCCATCAAAAGGAATGAGATCTTGCCATTTGCAACGACGTGGATGGAACTGGAGGGTGTTATGCTGAGTGAAATAAGTCAGTCAGAGAAAGACAAGTATCATATGACCTCACTGATATGAGGAATTTGAGAAACAAGACAGAGGATCATGGGGAAGGGAGGGAAAAATGAAATAAGACGAAACCAGAGAGGGAGACAAACCATAAGAGACTCTTAATCTCAGGAAACCAACTAAGGGTTGCTGGAGTGGAGGGGCGTTGGAGGGATGGGGTGGCTGGGTGATAGACACTGGGGAGGGTATGTGCTATGGTGAGCGCTGTGAATTGTGTAAGACTGATGAATCACAGATCTGTACCCCTGAAACAAATAATATATGTTAATTTAAAAAATAAATAAAAGTAAAAACATGTTTGGGTTGCTTTCCTCTGCAGGGCATCTGGACCCAGCAGAAAAAGTGGAGGATGCCCACCCCAAGTTATGGTGTGCTCTGAATGAAGGCAAAGTGACTGTGTTTGACGCTTCCTCTTGGACGATTTACCAGCATTGCTTTAAAGTGGGCACTTCCAAGCTGGTGAGTAAACAGCGCCCTGTGACATGGCGGCTTCCCAGATCGGGCTGTGAGCTCCGGAAAGATGGACATGTCCACCCGTACACGGCAGTGGGATGCACATTATCCCACAGCATCGCCCCATTCGGTAAACAAACAGGAGGTTGCTTTGTGAGGTTTTTCACTAGATGCAAACCCGTCCTCTCCTGTCAGCGTCCTTGTGTAGGTGAGCCGACAGTGGCTTTAGCCGCCCCCCGGCCTGGAACCTGAACATGGATTTCAGTGATGTGGACGCGCAGTCCTGTCTCGTATCCACATTCCCCATCCCAAGCAGAAACGTGCATTATTTTAACATATTTGGGGTTGAGAACCAAAAACAGTTTAAAGCATGTCGACATGATGTTAAGGTTTGAGCTTTTAGACTGATGACTTAAAGTTGATCACGTTAGTTTGTACAAAAACAGCCATCCCCACCCCTCTCAATCCAAGGTGCTGGGGCGGGCAGTGTGACGCGGACTCAGCTCTGCTTTTCCAAGACTTCGTAAGGCCTCTGAAAACCGTGTCTTACGTCCCGCGCTGCATGGTGAGGGGCCCACAGGCCCCGGGGCCCTGGTGATGGGCCCCACCCGGCATGTTTCAGGTGCATCCTGGTGTTTGCAGGTGAGGAGGCGTGGCTGGTCTGGGACTGTGGCCTGAGGTCCAGCTCAGTGAGCCCAGCGCCTCTCCTCCACACCATCCCCCATCTCAGGGTACGTTCCCACTGACCATCTGGTGGGACTCATCTGCTCAGGACGCCCTCAGCATATAAAAAAAGCTGCTGTCCCAAGAGGGGTTGCTAGGGAAGCCCTCACCTCCCTCCTCCTTTAAGGTGAAACTTTGTTTTTTCAGGTTTAAGGTGAGAACAATCTAGCAGAGTTAGGTACCTCAGTGTTCAGCATTACTTAGTACCAGCTTTGGTGGCCACATTCCATCATTTAAACATAATGTGGCACAGTCTAGGCTTTCAAAACTCTGTGAACAACAGAAATGCTGTGAATTCAGATGCGTGTTCCTGGGGGCTGGGCTCGTTCTTCACTGAGTGAGCAGCAGACCTCATGTTAGCAAGATAGCAAGAGGTTACTAAACTATTTCCTCCCCTAACCACACAGTGAGCCTCAGATGATAAAGTAACAGGACCCAAGATAAAATATTTACTAAGGTCTAATAATGCTTGAGACCAAACGAACAAGAAGGAGAAATTGAGGAAATCATTTTTATTCTAAATTTAATTTTTTCCTGTTGAATCTTAGTTATATGCGTTTCAAAGATTTTTTAGGGGCACTTGGGTGGCTCAGTCGTTAAGCGTCTGCCTTCGGCTCACGTCATGATCCCAGGGTCCTGGGATCGAGCCCCACATCGGGCTCCCTGCTCGGCGGGGAGTCTGCTTCTCCCTCTCCCACTCCCCCTGCTTGTGTTCCCTCTCTCGCTGTGTCTCTCTCTGTCAAATAAATAAAGAAAATCTTAAAAACAAAAACTTTTTAATAACAGAATAACTTAAAATCCTAGTTAAAATAAAATCAAAAGGCTGCATTACGTGGCCATCTCTGCTGCTCCCAGTCAGGCCAGGTACCATTTAGGTAAAGCAGTAGGTTCTCCCACTTATGTGAAAACACCTCTGTACTCATCTCACTGAGATACTCTGTGTACTGTTTAACGAGAAAGAAACTCGGATAATTATCTCAAGAAAATGCTGCCTCCTCTGAAATTTGAAGTTCCAAGTAGTTTAAGATATCTTTGGGCCACTAAAGAAAGACATTTTACTAAAATTATACCAGGTCTCAGGTAAGATGCCTGAAAAGAAAGGGATTTTTTTTTTTTTTTTTAAGATTTTATTTGACAGAGAGAGACACAGCGAGAGAGGGAACACAAGCAGGGGGAGGGGGAGAGGGAGAAGCAGGCTTCCCGCGGAGCAGGGAGCCCGATGCGGGGCTCGATCCCAGGACCCTGGGACCACGACCTGAGCCGAAGGCAGACACTTAACGACTGAGCCACCCACACTTTTAATATTTATCTTATTTTTGTACCAAACAAGTAAACTTTTTACGATTTTATTTATTTGTGAGAAAGAGTGAGCACAAGGCGGGGGGAGTGAGAGGGAGAAGCAGGCTTCCCGCCGAGCAGGGAGCCCGATGCGGGGCTCGATCCCAGGACCCCGGGACCATGACCTCAGCCTAAGGCAGATGGTTAACGACTGAGCCACCCAGGCACCCCAAGAAAGGCCTTGTTCAAATGATTAATTTTGAAATTAGTAAGCTAGCATCCTTTTCTAACTTACGGGAATATTTATCGGTAAAATTAAAACTATCAGTCTTTAGGGGTGTCTGGGTGACTCAGTCTGCCCCTCCCCCCGCTCGTGCTCTCACTCTCTCTCACATATTAAATAAAACTGGGGAGACTGGGTGGCTCCATCGGTTAAGCATCTGCCTTCGGGCAGGTGTGCCCAGGGCTCCCCGAACGCCCCGCGTGCCCCCCGGAGCAGAGGTGCAGTGTGGGCCGTGAGCTGTAGGATAGGACAGTGGTGGCTGACGAGACGTGACCGTTGGCGCTTTCTCCCTGGCCTGCGTCAGAACTGCATGGTGATGGCAGAGCAGAACCAGGTGTGGGTCGGCTCCGAGGACTCGGTCATCTACATCATCAACATCCACAGCATGTCCTGCAACAAGCAGCTCACCGACCACCGCTCCAGTGTCACGGACCTGGTTGTTCAGAACGGGACGCCCAGGTACCGCTGGGTTCTGCTGGGACAAGGGACCCTTGGGCTCCTGGGTGGGTGGGGAGCCCCGAGCAGGAAGGGCTCCCAGCCGCTGCGGGCGACTGCCCGCAGGGCCAGGCCGGCCATGGAGAGCGAAGCGGGTCTGTCACAAGCCAAGTCAGGTGATGTTCTTGTTTCTGGTCCTGAGCACGGAGGAGCGGGTCCCCTGCAGGCCAGCTGCAGGGTAGGCATGGCGGTCAGTAGCCACGGGCTTGTGGCCTTCCTCGCCCGCTCTTGGGGTCTGGGCATCTGCCAAGAACCTGCGGCTTACAGACACATCCTTCTGGTTCTCCCGCTTCACACAGTGCTACCCGTGTCCAAATCTCCCTTCTTATAAGGACGCCAGTCATGCTGGATGAGGGTCCACCCTGTTAACTTTAACTTGAATACCTCCATAAAGGCCCTATTTCTAAGTACTGTTGCACTCTGGCATCCTGGGGGTTAGGACTCCAGCGTATCTTTTTGGGGGGATACAGTTCAGCCTGGAAGTTGTGTCTGCTTCATTCACTGTCTTTGCCGTATTGGGACTGTCAGCCCAGAGGCAGGCACCCCTGTCTGTTCTCTTTGCTGTGTGTCCTGTGCTTGGAACAGGGCCCGGCACACAGTAGGTGCCCGGGGGAGACTGGAGAATGAGGAGGGGTCCCATTTCCCTCTGTGAAGGAATTGGAGGCTCCGGGGGCAAGGTCACCTACTTCAAAGAGGCAGCCCTGCCCAGGGCGCGGGTACCGCCCCCCGCTCTGGTGCTCTCCTCCATGCAGCCCCCCACTGCCTTGTCCCCTGAGTTTTAGGGGTGCCATCTGTCCTCAGATGGGCCCGCTCAGAACATAAGGCACTGACCTGAAAATTAATCGTTCTTGGGGTGAAGGGCCTGCGCATCGCTCTGGCTCGCACTCCCCCCTCTCCTGCAGCCGCTGGTGGCCGACGCGGCGCTGATTTGTGAACTTGAGCTGGGACGGTGCGCATGCTTGGTCTCCCCCGGTGTCAGGGGCTAGATTTGACTCCGTGGTCATGTTACGGTTCTGCAGAGCTGGCAGCAAACACTGAGGGGCAAGGAGAGGCGTCCCCAGAAAACCATTTTTGCCTGCTGCATCGGTTACGTCGTAACTAATCATTCTGTCCACATGGATGGAGTTTGCTTGGGTGGTGGACCTGTACGTAATGGTAACTTTGTACTCCTCGGGGTTAAAGCCTGTTGGAGCCAAACCTGCTCTTGTGTGTTCACACCCCCAGCAAGGTGTATTCGTGCAGCAGGGATGGGACCATCCTGGCGTGGAACGGGAGCACCCTGCGAGTGACCAGCAGGTTCCAGCTGCCGGGCGGCAGACTCTCGTCCATCAGCCTGCATGACGGCTGCCTGTGGTGCTGTAAGTCCTCGGTCCCCCGCTGTCCTTAGGGGTGCCGGAGCCCTGCTCCAGCAAGAGGACACTGAACACGAGCTTGAGGCTATTTCCTTTGCTGTGCACCTTCCCGGCCTTCCAACTCGGACTCCTTCTCTGTGCTCGCTGGCTCCCTGCTCGGCTCCTATCTGTGTGGCTTCTCGGGCCTCCCTCCCCCACAGCGGCCGGGACGCCGGCATCCTCCCACCTGCTGCCTGTCTCTCTCCTGCTCACCTCTGCTCTCGCCCGGCCCTGCTTGGAGTGTGAATGCAGCCCCCATGCCCCCAGGAATCATCACTGCTCCTTTTAGGAGCCCTCTGTGGCCCTGTCACTTTGTGTGTGACCCACGGCCCCCCCAGCCGGGGGCAAGCGGGGCAAGGCCTGCTGGGCGGGCCTCGGCACAGACCTTGGGTCAGGACTCTGCGGAGCTCAGCTGGGCATCCTGCCCGGGGTGTGACGGGAGGTGCAGAGGCTCGGCCTGGGGGTGTAGGTCCTGCATTTCTGAGCATCCCAGAGCACACTGTCTGCACTTTCGAGTCTTCCCTGGGCTGTGCCAGATGCCAGGGTAATGGTCATGAACGTAATTTTTTTAAACTTGAAGCATATTTTACATATGGTAAAATGCACAAACATGAGTGTCGTTCGTTGGATTTTGACAAAAGCATCCAGCACATAACCACCCAAGGACCCAGATATTTCCATCACAGCGGAAAGTTCCTCTGCGCCCCTTTCCAGGTAGCGCCTGCCCAGAGGCCACCCGTTGTGGATTCTGCCGCCCGGGGCTGTGTTGCCTGTTCCCAAGCCTTCCCTGCACGGACTCCGCAGCAGGGGCCCTTCTGTAGCCGCGCTGTTCACGAGCCTCTTGTGCGCGGGGCCACCTGCGATGTTTGTTTATGGCTCGCTCCCGCGATTGCGGAGTTCGATTTGGTCGTAGGAATATATCGCGATATGGTCATCCAAGGGTTAACCCGGTGTTTACCCCATTGAGAAACCGTGGGTCCGACTCTTCTCCGAAGCTGCTGCACCATGTGGCGCTCCTGCCGGCCAGCCGTGTAGGAGGGTTCCGATTCCTCCGCACCTTCACCGTGCTGGTTTTTACTGGCGGCGCCCCCATGGCTCTGTGCGGCGGCGTCCCACGCTGGCCTCCCTGCCTTCCCAGCCGCGTGCCGGGGTGCGTGTGCCCTGTGCGTGTGTGCGTGTTGTCTACGGCAACATCCGCACGCCAGTCTGCTCACTTCTAGCGCCGTTCCCACGGCTCGGGCGGGAGCCCGCCGTCCCCTCCGCCCTTTTCCCTTTCCCACCTGTCCTTCTCGGCTTTTGTTACTCCGTCTAAAAGAAGGCAGGAAAGAATTTTTTATATTGTTTATTTTTCTGTCTTTTTAGCTCTACATTTTTTTGCTTTACTTTTTAGTGGTTGCTCGAAGGATGGCAGTATGAGCCTGCCCTTCTCACGGCAGACCTTAACATGTCATATGTAAGCTCACAGTGGTATCAGCAATTCCATTTACCTTTTCCTGTCCCTTTCGCTACTATTGTTAACAGCAGTATTTTATTTCTACAACTGTGATAAACCTCAGAAAATCGTTTTCAAATTTTTGCGTAAGTACTTACTGATTTTTGCCCATATGTTTACCGTTTCTGGGGAGCTTTGTACCTGGTTTCCGTCTGCACCGCTTCCCTTAGCTCAAGCATTTCCCTTAGTATTTCTTATGACCTGAGTCTGCTATAAGCAAATTCCAGGCTGATAGACTGTGTTTCCCCCCCCACACACTTTAGAAATATCTTCCCATCGTTATGTAGCTTTGTTTGTTCCTGATGAGAAGTTGGCCCTCTTCCTGTTCGGCTGATACATCGTGTCTGGTTTCTGTGGCCGCGTGGAAGCATTGTCTTTGCTTTTCAGGAGTCAGACTAGAGCGTGCCTAGGCGTGAAGGTCTTCATGTCTATCTCACTTACGGTTTAGTTTCGTGAGTCGGGAAGACTTTTAACCATTATTCCTTCCAGTATTTTTGTGCATTCCCTTTCTCCATGTCTTCTGGGATCTTAATTGTGTGTGTGTGTATATGTGTATTCTAGAATTACATTAGAATATAAATATATATAATAGTATAATAATATATATCTCAGGCTATCGGATAATGTCCCACAGGTCTCAGGCACGGCTATAATTTTTTCCCTCTTTCCCTCTGCTTTAGCTTGGTTAAGACCAGACCCTTTCTTCATCTGTGTCCTGTCTGCTGCTGGACCTGTCCAGCAAATTTTCATTTCAGTTCGAGAATTTCCATTTCTCTTCTAAAGTCTTCATGTCCACCCATCCTCTTCATATCTTCCTGTGAGTTTTTAAATTTATCCGTAATTGCCGGTTGAGCCCCTTCGCCGCCGGATCCTGGGTCATCTGTGGGTCTGCTTGTGCGCACTGCTTCTTCTATTGAACCCTAGTCGTATCTGCGTGCCTCACAGGTGCAGGAGTTACTGTATCCTGGATGTTGCTGATGACACGTCTAGGAGACTCTGGTTATATCCTTCTTTAAAGACCATTAGGTTTTGTTCTAGAAGGTCATTAAATTACTTACTGGCCAATCATTTTATTCTTGTGTAGAGGCTTGGTTTTTGGCTTCTCTGGGGTAAGTATATTTCACTTTTGACCTTAGTCCTGGAGCACATAACACTTTGTTCTGGTGCACAGTCTTGATTTTTGTAAGCACAGCTCTTTTAGGGTCTCAAGGGAATGCCTGAGGTATGTACAAAGCCTTTCTAGCCTGATGAGCTACTATTTTGAACTGTTCCAGTTCTGCCTTCTGTGTTTATGCACAGTTGAGGAGTCAGCCAAGGATTTGAGAATCTATACATACGTTTTGGGCTCCCTCATTTGGGGGATATTCCTTCTTTCCAGCCACATTGGCAGCCCTAAATCATACCCTCAAGCAAGGTGGACTGTGACAGCACTAGAACATTTATTCCTCAGTGTCCCACAGAGAACTGGGAAGTACCCCCAGGGAAACCTGGGTGTGTGTGCAGGTTATGGAGTTTACTTCTTTTCTTTCAAGGACCATACGCCTCAGCCTTGATCTCCAGTGTGTGTGTGTGTGTGTGTGTGTGTGTGTGTGTGTGTGTGTCCAGTCCGGATGCATTTTGGACTACCAGAGCTGACCAAACTCTGGGCTAAAAGATGCCTGTTACATACAGTGAGGGAGCAAACAGAGGACAGAACGCCTTGTATTTTCCAAGTTAATACAATAAGTAGTCTTCCTATTTAGCAACAATGAGAAAAATGGGGTTTCTTCAGGTGACAGAGAGCGCATGCCTGAGAAGTGTTGTCCCAAGTCTCTTTCTGAATAAGAGTAACAAGCGGAAACCTCGGCCCCTCATCATATGTCACCAGTGCAGATACTGGGACCAGATCAGGGTCTTCTCACACTGGGACGTCGGTGTGCTTGGAGACAGAGCCTGACAGTGAGGGCCGGCCAGACGGTGCGTCTCGCTTCTCCCCAGGCACCTGGTGAGGTGAGCCTGAGGGGCTGCGCTCTTCCTCTCTAGTCCAGTAATGAGACCTCAGACCTGCGTGTCTTCCCCTAGGACTGCGTGGCCGGCTGCCCTTGCTCAGGCACCCCGCGCCTGAGTGCTGGGTCATTTTCTAGGAGGGAAGTAAACCCCGTTCCCACACCCCGTGGTTCTGCTGTGGCCTTCAGGTGGGTGCATTCAGGTTCAGGCTTTGCTGCCAGACAGCTGGTCACTTTGGAGTCTGTGTCTTCATTTGAAAGTGAGATAGAATACTACCCTTCCCCCTGCAGAGCTCGCTAATGGCTACGAGATGCAAGAGGCCAAGGCGCCATCGTCCTCAGAGTGCTGTGTTGGGGACAGTAGCCCTCCTCTGTTGCTCCACTGCTCACGCCCCCCTTGAGCCTTGTCTTGTCCCGTGCCCCTTCCTATGGGGCCCCTTCCTGGGCTCTGTGTCCAGTCCGCTGAGAGGGGGCCCGAGGGGCGGAAGTGCCTCCCACAGGGCGGGCCCGGTGTTCCTAACCAGCCGCAGCATCACGAGGGCCTCACCAGTTAGCCCAAGTGGATAATGGCATATCTGGCTAACGGGCCATCATAGGACGAGGTTTTGCTTATGAGGTCTCGGGAAAACCACCCTGACCCCAGCTTAGAAGCAGGAAGGAGAGATGGGACGGCAGCTCTTGCTTTCCATGACTGAAACCCCAGCTGAGCTTCCAAGTCCTTGGGGCGGCCAGGGGCAGGGTCTCCTGTGTGTGGAGGCTGAGTGTCAGGGGCCTGCGGTGCACTGGCTGGTGACAGGAAGCCGGAGCGGCACGCCTGGGGGCTCCCGCCTCCCTCTGCATCCAGCCGGCACCGCCCCCGCCCCCGAGGCCATGCCCGCCTGTCCCCATGTCTGTGATGCTGGCACGGTGGCCTCAGCACCAGGGGCAGGGGGCACACGCAGGAAACTCACAAGGAAAGGGCGTCCGGCCACCTGCAGCTCTCTCGGTTTGCAGAAAGCCGCGTTCCTTGAGTGATTCACAGACGCGGAAGCACGTGGTGACGCGTGGCACTGTCACCTTCACCTCTCATGCCCGACGGGGAGGACTGGCTGTGGCTTCAGGGGGCAGGACAGGAGGAAGGGTCCCAAAGCGGCCGTGTCCTCATCAGTAATGGTGGGGTGACGGCCACCGGGGCCGCGAGGTGGCAGCGCGTGGCAGCTGGCTGCCCAGGAAGACCTTTCCAGCCGCTTCATCCCCGTGCCCCAGGCGCGCCCCCGGCCCTCATGCTCACCCCTCCGCTCTGCAGGCACCGGGAACAGTATTGTGGTTGTGACGTCGAACGGACTGCTTTGTCAAGAACTGAAGATCAGCGAGAACGTTGGGGACATCTGCACGTCCTTCCTCAGTCTCCAACTCCTCCCCGAGGTATCTGTCCCCGCAGCGCCGTGGGGGCCGGCTCCCCGGAGCGCTGGGCCACCAGCCACAGCCTGACTTCTGTTTCAGCAGGAGCAGCTCTGGGCGGCGTGTGCCGGATTCAACAGCATCTACGTTTGGAGCCTGAAGGACCTGACCCAGCGCCCTCAGGCGGTTCACCTTCAGGACTGCTCCGAGGTCAGCTGCATGATCACGGTGAAGCAGCAGGTAGGGCGAGGAGCCACACACACCGCCCCCCCAGAGCACCGCCCCCCACCCAGGCTCCAGGAGGACTTGGATTTGGGGGTGAACCATTCCACCTGGTACACCGGGTAAAGCACACCTACAGGGGTCCCCCTTCCCGGGCCAGGCTGCGTGTGGCCGACGCCCCCTCCGTTTCTCCCTGGCAGATCTGGGTAGGCGGCACAGGTCTGTCACAGGGCAAGTCCAAAGGGAAGATCTACGTCATTGACGCCGAGAGGAAGACAGTGGAAAAGGAGCTGGTGGCCCACATGGACACGGTGAAGGCCCTGTGCTCGGCAGAGGACAGATACGTGCTGAGCGGGTCCGGCGGCGGGGAGGGGAAGATCGCCATCTGGAAAGTTGAGTAAACGTGGGTGAACATGCTGAACAGGGCTGTGTCCTGCCCCCCTGCCGGGGGCGCCCCCCGGAGAGGGTGGGGTGGGGAGCCAGTCCGGGCCCCCAGTGGGAAGGGCAGTGTGTCCGACTTGCCTGATTGAACCGTACCAACAGCCCTTCAGGTTGGGGTGCTTCTCAGGCAGGCAGCTGGATCAACTTGCTAATTGGCTCTGCCGGGAAGTTACCCTGTGTGTTGTCTAGAAAGTTCCAGAACCCACGACTAGGGGCCAGCACCGGAGCCAGAGGGAAGCGATGTAGCCAAATCACGTATGACCGGCAGACCTCAAGTCTCTGGTTTGCGTTTCCTCTACTTCACTCATTTAAATATACAGTAAGCACCAGTTTGCAGGAGACTTACAGCCTTAGGCTGACCTCTTGTTTCCAGCAGTTTGAGAGGAGGTGTTCTTTAAATGACAGCTTTGTGGTTGAGGAGATTTGTGCCTGCCCCTTGCTGTGCCTGCTCAGAGCAGGTGACCGAGGAGGGGACAGGGAGGGGACAGCACTGTACTCAGGGTGTCTGGACAGGGGCTGGGCCAGCTGAGGCAAGCTCTGTGTTTCTTTCCTTTAATTAATGCCAAGTTTTTATAATGAAGAAACCTAGAGAGACTTTGCTGCCAGAGATCACAGAGGAAGAGTTCCACCTAAAATAGCCTTATATAATCAAGTTTTCTAGTGAAGTTGCTGCCACTCACCGTCACGTACCTTTCAACCGTCTGCATCTTGTGTGAGTGTCATCTCTGTCTCCGTAGATGGTGCTGTATTATTGATCTTATTAGCTATAAATAAGTATTTGCAGAAACAACCTCTTATGCATTTTTACTGTAATACTGAGATGTTCCTCCCTCGGTGTCCAGCAAGGAAGGTTTTGACGTAGTTACTGGATGTGGAGGGAGCATCCCCCTGCTGGCTCTCCCCCGATGGACCCACCATGAGCTCAGCCACAGACCCTCTGCCCTGGGCTTGTGGAACTCAGACGCCACGCCGGACCTCACTCACCCTGAGAGGTCGCAGACGGTGTTCATCAGGCCCCCAGGACAGGGTCGAGCTCAGTAGCGTCCAGAACCTCCAGATGAAAGCTTTGACCAGCCCTTGGGTTTGTCTGTAGGACCTAAGCGTTTTGCAGGGTCCAGATCACGGACCCAGATTTTGGGGTGTTCTGGGAATGTGGTGCAGAGAACAGCTAGGTGGCCTTATGCCCCCGCGGCTATGCTTACAAAGAGGGTGTGTTCCTGACTTCATAGAAGGAAACAAAGGTTGAATTCTGCTTTTGTAAACACATGAAAAATTAGTCAAATCCTGTCAGAAATACTCATAAATTATTTCATGTCAATCCACACATAACCAGGTATTTTCACCTTGTCAATAATAAATTCCTTTGTTTATTAAACACTGATGTCCTGTCTCCTTACTTTCCCCACATTCAGTGGTGGGAGAGAGCTATGAAACAATCCAGGACCATTTTGGGTTTGCTCTTGATTCATTCTAAGCATGCATCGTTATTTTAATGCAGACTTTTCATTCCCTTTATTCTTAGTGATAATTTCCCAGATCTTACTTGACAGTGATAGAGTGGCCGGTGGGGGTTGTTAAAATGGAAAGGGCACTTTATGCCTTCGGTGTTTCCTCTGTGCTTTGAAGAGGTTCCGTGATGAATGATTTGTCACAGGAAGCCCCAGATGAGCTGGAATTCATTAGACAGACGATGCCTTCCCTGTTGTGGCTTCAGAAACCTGAATTAAGTTGGTACCAAAAAAAAAAAAAAAAAAAAGTGTTTATCTTGAATGAGAAGCCAGTCGACTTTAATATGATTTCAGCTCTCCAGCTGTATTTCAAACAATAGAAGAGAAAGCTTGCTCTGGGTGCCGGCCCAGCGCTACGACGCCCATCACACGCTTGCCCCGCTCTGCTACTGCTGAAGTTGTCCAGATGGTCACTTGCTGCCGCCTTTACGATCTGCTCTCTCAGTATGTGAACGCACTGGCTGCTCTCAAATGACAACCTCGGAATCGGATGTGATTGTAATGTCTGAATTAAAAGCACATGACTTATGTCCATTTCTAGAAGATTCCTTAGGAAGATGAAGGGGTGCTTCCTCCACATGGCTGGGGAAGGCTTGGATAGAAAGCCAGGCAGAGTTGTCCCACTGTGTCTACTGGCTGGAAATGTCTGTATTTCTTGCAGCGATGCCATGGGGTCTCCGGGCGAGTAAGAGGCTCAGACACTCAGGAACTAGTGTTTCACCTGTGCTGCTACTGCTCTGCTATGGCGTGACCATGACCTTCAGCAGGCACAGGACTCCAAAGCTCTAGGTTTCTGTGCCTTGGAACAGAGAGGTGGAACAGGGCCCCAGGTGAGGCCAGAGGCCCGCAGGCCCTAGTCCAGGCCTAGTCCACGAAGTCCTGGGCTGGTGGGGTGACTAAGAAGGGCGCTCCACTTCTGGGTCCCGGAACGGCCCAGAGAATACTCCAGCCAGGCTGCTTTGCTGGGCGCTCGTGAAAATACTCAAGAGCTTGTCAACACGTGACAGCAGCTGCAGTGGCCCAGAAAGGCCAGTCCATGTCCTGTCCCCTATCCCCTGGAGATCCCAAGATGAGGTCATCCTGGCTTAGGGCGGGCCCTAAATGCAATGACAGGTGTCCTTGGAAGAAGACACAGACCAACACACACATCATCTACAAGAGATGCACTTTAAATACACCAACCTGGGGCGGAGGGTTGGGGGGGGGTGCGCCGTGAAAGCTGGAACAGGCACACAAGGCAGACAATCAGCACAGTTGCGGTATCGCTATTTGCGTCAGACAAAACAGACTCCAACTCAAGTGTGCATAATGCCAAAAAGACAATTCTGTTCCTTGTGATAGTTATTAATCCATAAGACATAATCCATATATATTTATATATGCACTTAATAGAGCTTCAAGACACATGAAGCAGACATGGTAGAACTATAGGAGAAAACAGATCCACACTAGGAGTCGGGAGATTTTCACACCTTTCTCTCGGTGAGAGAACCAGTAAACAAAAACTCAGTGACGACATAGAAGGTTCAACACCATCCGCCAGTGTGGCCTGAAGTTACAGAACGCTACACCCCACAACAGGATACCCCCCTCTTTTCAAGTGTACATAGAATGTTTATCAAGCTAGATCATACGCTGGAATATAAGTGTGAAAAGATTTAAATCTTACAGAATATGTTCTCAGACCACACCAAACTTAAATTAGAAATCAACAGCAACAATGCCCTCAAAATCCCCAAATTAAAATTATGTTGGAAATTAAACATTACTTCCAAATAACCTATGGGTCAAATAAAAATATCACACAAGAAATTTAAAAAGTACAAAATTCGTGAGATGCAGTTAAAGCAGTGTTTAGAAGAAAGGTTATCGCTTTAAACGCCTCTATCAGAAGAAAAGTTTAACATTAAACTTCCATCATAAGACTATAGGAAAAGACTAAAGCATATTTAATCCAAAATATGTAAAGGAGGGAAATAATAAAGATATGACCAAAATCAATGAAATGGAAAGCAATCAACAAAGCCAAAAGTTGGTTCTGTAAAGTAATTGGTAAACTCTTGTAAAACCAATCAAGAGAAAAGGAGCAGACACAAATCACCAGTGTCAGGAACGAAAGACAGGCTGAAATCTTCTCGACATCAAAACAGTAGGTGAACAACTTTATGGCAATAAATTTGGTGAAATGTACAAAGTTCTTGAGAAACAACTGCATGAAGCTGAAGCCAGTGCAAGAAGAAATAGAAAATCTTAATAGTCCTACATCTATTAAGGAAATTGACTTTGGTCAAAAACCTTCCCGCACAGGAAATCCCGGGCCCTGTGGGTTTCATTAGTGAATTCTAACAAACTCTTTAGGATGGAATACTAGAATCCCACAGAAGTCTTTCAGAAGGATAGGGAGCACTTCCTGACCCATTTAGGAGACCAGCATGATGCTGTACTAAAACTGGACAAAAGATCTTACAGGAAAATAAAAGTGCACATTGGTTCCCCTCATGAACATAGATGCAAAATGCCTGAACAAAGTATTAGCCAGTTGAATCCAGCAACATTCTGAAAGGATAATACAGCATGACCACGTGGGGCTTGCTCCAGGAATGCAAAGCTAATTTAACATTCGACAGTCAATCTGGAAATTCCACATGTTAACAGAATAAAGGAGAAAAGCTACAGTGGTTATCTCAACAGATGCAGGAAAAAACTGACAGAATAAAATAATCGTTCACAATACATATCCCGGCAAACTGAGAAGCAAACGTCCTCAGACTGATACGGGGCACCTGCGGGAACCCACAACGGACGTCCCACCTGACGGCCGCAGACCGGCTGTGCCCCTCTAAGACTGGGAACAGGGCAAGGACGCGCCCTTTCATCCCCCCATTCAACACCACACCCCAGGTCTTGGCCTTGGCATGAAGGCAAAAATAGATGATTGAAAGATTGGACAAGAAGGACAAACTATTTATACACAGCCAGCATTATCGATTACATAAATCCTAAAGAATCTTTTTTTAAAGGAAGTATTAGACCAAGCAAATTTAGCAAGATTGTGGGATACAGGTCAATACAGAATAACCACTGCATTTCTATATTTTAACAAACAATTGGAAAATGTAAAAATATGACTTATGATAGCATTAAAAACACATCAGATACGAATAAATTTAATGAAAAAGATGTGCTAGACCTGTATACTGAACTCAAAAACACTGCTGAGAGAAATTTTAAAAGGCCTAAATAAATGAAAAAGTATGTTTATGGATGAGAAGATTAAATATTGTAAAAATGTTCTCTCCAAGTCAACCCAGTAGATTCAATGTCATTCCAATCCAAATCCCAACACAATTTAAAAATATGTATGTTGACAATTTGACATGCACAGGCGTGCACGCACACATGGAAATGCCAAGCTGAATAGTCAAGATAACTTTGGAAAAATGGGAGCTAGA